GGAGAATGATGCATGATTGAGGATGATGTCCCCAATGACCCTCCAGGTGGGGGGCCATCATGCCCATCATGGGGCACATCCTTACCGGGAGGCCTACCTGGGACTCGCCATCGACCCGCACCAGCCGCAGCTTGCTCGTGTTCAAACGAATGTTGGGGCTTGTTGGGCACCGCAAAACGGCCGCCGTCCCGGCAACCTGGGGCAGCCGCCGCCCTCACAGCCGCCGCGCACGTTCGCCTCACCGTTGCCCACCGTTTGGCTCCAGACGCAGACCCATTGCACCCCCTACTGCTATGCCTGCTGCAGGCTGTGCAACTCATGCCACTGCAAGGCCTACCGCCTGAAGCGCAAGTCCAGTGGGCCGGCCATGAGCCTCGGCGGCGGCTCGGCGGAGGCGCAGCCTGAGCGCCGCGTACGCGCTCGCCGCCGTGCCCCCGACCGCTCGTCGCCCTCGCTGGCCCAAGCCACCCCCGCCGGCGCGGGCACAGGCAAGTGTTTGCAATGTACAAGCCCCTGTCCCGGCTGGTTCCATCAAGCCGCTTCTTCCTTCCTGTCAGAATTCACACCAATGACCACCACCTCCTCGTCTTTTTGAGAGAGCAGCAACACCCGCCCACCCCCTCGTATCAGGCCTGCCCCCCGGTTCCGGTGACAACGTCCCTGCCGCCCCCTGCCCCCGCCGCCTGCAAGGTGCCCCACCCCTCCCAATGGGCCGACGGCGGGTGTGGGCTGGATGATGGGAAGGCGCTGGTGCCGCCCCCGGGCATGCAGCTGGACGCGCCCGCATACCCGCTAATCCCAGTGGCCGCGGCCTCGCCCGCCATCCCGGGGCAGGCGCAGGCACGCCCGCCTGTCTCTCGCTGGCTTGCTGCCTGCCTGGTGCTCACAAGACAGCAAGCCCTGCCCCGGCCAGGCGCGTCCCCACCTGCCCCTCCCAACGTCTTCTTTCTGCACTTGGCTGTGCAGGCTGCCTCGTCACCCTCCCCTCAGCTGGTCATTTCAGACCTGCAGCGGCGCGTGTTTGATGAGGCGTGCAGCGGAGCCCCAGACATCGCACTTGTCATGCACTGCGCACGCCGTGCCCGGCAAGCCACCCCAGCCTGCGCGCAGAGGTGAGCCTGCGGGGCAAGCAAAAGCATGCCGTGCCAGCCACGCTACGAGCTTGCCTTTGCCTGCACATGACTGTGCACCTGCTGATGAGTGTGCACCACCACCAGCCACCTGCATCCACATGCACGCATTGCCAGACACACGCGCACGCAAACTCGTTGCGCCCATGCGACGCCTGTGCCTGCATGCAGGGTGGTTCTGGGCGTGCTGCCGCGCCTGCTTCTGCAGCTGCCAGACGACCCTACCGGCCTAATGCACAGCATGGCATGCCTTGTGGAAGGCGTGGTGCCCGCAGGGCACCGGGCCGAGCAGGCGGCAGATTCTCAGGAGGGCAGGACCAGCAGGAGCGGCCTCGCGGCGGCGCAGCCTGTTGCGGTGGCGGTGCGGCTGACTCTGTTTGCTGCAGGTGAGCGGGTGTGGCCTGCAGCCAAGCAGAGTGTCAGAACACTGGTCCCGGCTGGCAGCTGCCAGATGGCGGGATCGGGTGGCTCTTTGATTGGCTTCTGACGCGCATCCCTGCTGGCCTCCCATGTCTGATGGTGCAGCTGGCGCCGTGGCATGCTGGCACGAGGGTCCCGCGGACTCCTCCCTCTCCCTTGCATTCAGCCCCATCACTCGTGCCCCAATCTGGAGCAGCGGGTGCGTGCCAACTGTAGGCCTGACGGCTTCGCAGCCCCTACCCGGCTCGACCTCCCATTGCCCCCCCTGCTGGGGTTATGCCGCGCCAAAGTGGAGCAGGCGCTCACGCGGCCTCTGCTCTTGCTGCTGCCCTCACTGCTGCGTGCAGGCCGGCGGGCTTTAGCGTGCACTTTGCGCACCCGTTTTGCCCACAGGTGGACCTGTTTGCAGGTGAGGCGCGGTAGCGCAGCTGACCTGCTGAGCGCTGCTGTCGCTGCCCGCAGGGGTGTTGTGTGCTGCTGTCGCCGCCGGGAGGGTGGCTGCTGTGGGTCCACTTGTCCATGCCTCGCTGGTTGAGCCGCTATGCGCCCTGTGCCGATCTGATCCATGCCGCCCTTCCGCGTCTCCTGTGCCGCTGCGACTGCAGCCATCCACCAGCACGTGGCGGCGCTGGGGCACAGAGTGCTGGACCAGCCCACTCTGTCTCTGGACATTGACGGCATGTGGAGCCCAGCCATGGCGCAGGGCCCGGCAGCGGCGGCAGCAGCGCCTGTGGCCGCCGCGCCATACCCGGCCGCGGCTGACGCCGCCGCCCTGCAGGCGCAGCAGTTCTTCTCCGCAGCCGGCCCCACCTCGCCGATGGTGCCCACCCTGCAGCACCAGGTGCTGCGGTCCCAGCACCCGCACCCGCTGCTGCAGCCCCCGCAGCAGCAGCTCTCCTTCGGGCCGGTGCCTTCGGGGCTGCTGTTCTCCTCAGGCCGTCTGCCCAGCGATGCAGGCCTGTCCCTGTTCGACCTCTAGTCCTGACCTAATGTGCTGGCTGCTGAATAGCACCAGCGCCAACTAACCTTGCCCCCAGCTCAACCCAAACCTCAACCCAACTGCAGCATGTGTGTGCGTGTCTGTGTGTGCGTGCGTGTGCAACCCGTTTTCCCAAGCCTTTTCCCCTCGATGACCAACTTTGTCGCTGCCTGAGAAAGCGGCACAGTTTTTTTCGTGCCAGACGCTTTCACGCGTGGCATGCACTTGCTTATTTACCAATTGCTTTTTCAGTGTCCCACCCCCTACATGCCAACCACGCCCCCCGTACATCCCTGTGCGCCTAAGCAGTCTTTGCTTGTACCGCTTGCTGGTGCCCCTACAGCCTCCACGCCCTCTCTCGCAAGCGAGTCTCTCGTAATCCCTCTCAGCTGCGGCTCTCTCCCACTGCCTCTTGCACAGCGCTCTGCGCCACCCCTTGTGTGTGTCTTTGCTTTGATGCTCCATCCTGTTTGCCCATACCCTGCACCCGATGTTGTTTTTCTACTTCTGCATGATGCTTCCAAGCGCCCCATGTCGTTGCCCCCCCCCCCGCCCCCCCACCCCCCCAGCCCCCTTGCATTTTTGCAGGCTCCCTAGTTCCTGCCCCATGCACAGGCTTAACAATCCCTCGTCTAAATCATCCACAAAACGAATGCCGCGACCAACCTGCATGGCCTGGCTTGGCACCTGCCCGCCACCCCACCTTTTGTAAACCATGCACCCACTTTTGGTCATGCAGCATTGTTACACAGGCCGAGCAGTGGCTAACCTCAGCTGTCCGCAGATGCAGCCTGCATGTGGCCAAGCACGCTCAAAGCAGGATTGAAGCACGCTCAAAGCAAAACACACAGCCAGGTACAGGGCGAACGCTCAACCACAACGCTGTGTCGCTGGCGCGGCACGCCAGTCACCGCCGCCGCGGCTTCCCGCCCCCCGCTTTCTTGCTGCCGCTGCTGCTGCTGCCGGCCTTGCGCTCAAACCACACATCCAGCAGGCCGTCCTCGTCCTCCTTGCTGCCCGACCCCAGCAGGCCCTTGAACTCTGACTGCCTGCCCCGTGGGTCGGGCCGCCGCTTGCCCTGCTGCTGCTGCCTGGTCCCTGCACGGTACTCGCAGCCAGCGGCCCAGCGTGCTCAGCAGCCGGGGATACAAGGCAGCAGAGGAGCGCGGGGCGCAGCAGTACGGGTGGCCCCGCTGGCCCAGCACAGGAAGCACAGGCGGCCCTGCCAGCCCAGCCCAGTGCATGGAGCAGCTCTAGGACGCACTTGTCCTGCCGCGGCCGCCGCTGACGCCCGCCACGTCCAGCCCAAACACCTTGACCGCCACATATGCGCCCAGGATGATGGTGCCCAGGGTGAGGGAGAACTGCGGGTGGCAGGGAGGAAAGCATGGGAAGAAAGCATGGGAGGACAGCCATGGCAGGGAAGCATGGCGGCAGCCACAGTGGGGTCAGCATGGGAATCAAGGCAGAGGCAGCAAGAAGGCCAGAGTTTACTGGCGCGCCGAAAGGAGGGTGGACAGAGAGGAGGCTATGCTGTGCCGCCGACTGCTGTGCGCTGGGCCTGCGCCGCAGCTCACCGACAGCAGGCTCTTGACAAAGGAGAGGGCCAGCAGGACGAGGCCTGCGCTGACCGCAACTCGCACCACGGCGGGCGAGGCGTCGGCGGGAGCCAGCTGCAGCGCCACGCCCGTCAGCCTGTCGGTGATCGCAGACAGGCCCCTCAGGGTTGTGGAGAGGATGGGGCCCACCCCCGGCTGGATGGTGGTGCCCTGCAGGCACGCAGGCAGGCAGCACCAGGCAGGAGTGATGCGAGCCCACCTCGAAGGAACCGGCTGGTGCAGTTGGTGCTGCGGAGGGAACACGCAAAGCGTGTGCCCGCCGTTATGAGCAGGCAGCCTCACCGACTGCTCCCAGTCCTCCTCGTCATCAAAATGCACGTAGTCCCGGTCGAAATCCTGGCGGTCGGAGCGGCGGGCCTGCACCGGCACACAGAGCTGGCGGCCCGCCCGCCAGCCGCCGCTGCTCGCTGGCGCCGCAGTGCTGCGCCGCAGGGGGCCTGCAGTGTCGCAGGGAAGGATCTGATGAGATGCTGGCCAACCCAGTGAGCTCTGCAGGGCTCTCGGGCTGTCCTACCCGCACCCCACCCACCTGCCGAGAGTTGCTGACGGTTCGGTGCGAGGCAGAGGCGTGCAGGGGTGTGAAGCTGGCATGCGCGTGCTGAAATCGAGCACAGCATGCTGAGCAACCGTGCAGCCGAAAGGGAGGCGCGCAGTGAACAGCAAGCAATGGCAGCAGCTGGGAGGCTCCAAGATTGAAAATGGAACCGAACAATCTCCGTCGGTGGTAGAGCTGACCCGCTCCTGGCAACCAGCGCGCCCGTGTCGCATTTCTGGCCGCCACCCAGTACGCGGCCCGCCTGTACCGCACAGCCGCCAGGCGCTGCTCCCCAATCTCCAGCTCTTTTCTCCGTTGCGTTTGGCTTGCTTAACAGTGCAGTGATATTATCAGTACTAACATACCTTTGACAGCATGAATATTGGAGAGAGGAGATGGCAGAAGAGAAAGAGAACGGATGTGTGTTTGAATAGGGGAGCGGCCAAATGCTGAGAGCCTCGGTGAATGCTGATAGTTCATCAAAACAATGATTATTGGGGAGGTGGGTGGGTATGAGTCACGATTGGAAACGCTCAGCGGCCACTTGGGGCAGTCGGCTGGTCGGTCGGTGTCGGTCGGGGTCCAGCCCGGTCTCAGGCCAGGAAGCTGTTGTAGGTGCGAATCTCGTCCACCTCCATGGGCGACGGGGCCAGCTGCTTCATGAAGTCGATGTGCTGGATGCGCAGGCGGTCCTGCTTGGGCGCGCCGGCCACCACCGAGCCGGGCGCCCGGAAGCTGAGCACCGAGTCGCTGCCCAGGTACATGGCCACGTGGGAGTGCGGGCGCTTGCCGTAAAACACCAGGTCGCCGGGGTGCGCGTTGGCGGTGGAGGCGCGCTTGAAGGTGCCCAGCGGGAAGCCGTAGCTGCGGCAGCAAAAGGTGCGCCGGTCAGGATCAGACCCACAACGTCATACCGGCTGGGGTGATGCTGCAAGTGCAGTCAGGTGTGCTGCAAGCAGGCACCCTCGGCGTCCAGGGCAGCATGGCAGGCCAGCCGGCCGTGGGCTCACTTGGTTTTGGACACGACATCGCCATTGGCGCCCAGCGTTGCAATGGTGCCGCCGCTGCCCCAGCCGCCGGGCGGCTTGTTGCCGTTGAGCATGTCTGGTCCCTTGCCAAATGCGGTGTAGTAGAGCCAGGACACGATGGCGGCGGCGTCGGTGATGGGTGGGATGTTGTTGGTGCACACGTTCTGGGTGATGCCCGTCCAGCGCGCTATCTGGTACTGCGACTGCCCTCGGCTGTCGGTCAGCTCCTTGTTGAGGGCAACTAGCCCCTTGGCCACAGCGGCCATGCCGGCGCGCGAGGACGGCACGCTGGCGCACACGTTGTCGTCTGCAGCGGGGACGGCGAGGGGGCAGGGGGCGGGGAGGGCTCAAGATCTTGCTTGGGGGCTGCACCCTGGCGGCGCTGTGAAGCGTGCATGCTCCAAACGGCGGCTGGGCCGCCGGCAGGCGCGGTCCCCATGCATCGGCAGACCGGCGCAGCCCCTGTGCTGCCAAGGTCGCCCTGCCGCTCACCCAGCTTGCACAGCGCCGACACTTCGTAGGGGCCGCCATAGCCGGGCACGGAATAGATGGCGATGTTGCTGGCTGGATTGAAAGGCACCTGCAGGTGGGTTGAGGAGAGGGAGACGGTCGGCAACGGGGTCCCGCTGGGCAGCGTGCCCGCCGCCGTGGAGGCAGCGGCAGTGCAGCAGGGTGGCTGCCGCCTTGCACGCGCCTCTCTGACGATGCTCCCACCCCCTTCCCCCACCTCTCGCCCCGCCCTAACAGCGCACTCACGGCGTAAACCTTGCAGGTGGAGGAGCCCAGCGGGATGAAGCCCATCTGGTAATCCGAGGAGTTCTTGAGGGAGCGGATGCGGCAGGCGGCGGGCCCCGTGGCCGCGGCCTGCCGGTACGCGCCGCACAGCACGGTGGGGCGCCACTCCAACCGCGTGCCGCCCGCCTTCTTGCTGCACGCGCAGCGGTAGCCTGTGCCGGCGGTCTGGGAGTACTTGAAGTCGGCGGTCTGGTAGAAGCAGGCGCCGACGCTGGGATACCACGTGCCGTACACCAGCTTCTGCTCCGACGTCGTGGCGTTGACGGTGGTGAAGGCGCAGAGCGACTTGGCCAGGCGCGGGCCGCCCGCAAACTGCTCGGGCCCCAGCAGCTCCCCCTTGTCGCCCGTCCCCACCGCCGTGTACCCCTTCCAGAAGCAGGTCTCCGGGCAGCTGGGTCCCTGGGGCACCAGCTTCACTGCGGGCGGGGCAGGCAGGCGGGGACACGGCAGGGCAGAGCTGGTCAGAATCGATTGTCGGGCCTCGCCGCCAGTGCCAGCAGCACCCTTTCCTAAACCACAACAGCCGTGCCTGGGCAGCCAGGCCGGGTCGAGGCTGAGCAGGAAGCAAGCGAGGCGCGGGCGGGCGCTCACATGCCGGGGCGGCGGTGTCGTTGCACAGCACTCGCACGGCGAGCGCGGTGTTGTTGACGTGTACGTGCGTGATGGTGGCGCCGCCAGGGCCCCACGGCACAGCCCCCACCACGCACGTGTTGGCCGGCGCAGGCACGCCCGCGTCGCGCAGCGCCTTGGTCACCTGCAGCGCCAGCAGGGCCAGCCAGCTTCAGGCACCACCGCGGCCAGCCGGCCACTCGAGCACCCGCTGCCCCGCGCGGCATGCTGCACACGGCGCATCCTGAATCGCCGCCCGCGGCAGCGGTCGAGCAGCGGCGCGAGGGACATGGCTCACCAGGGTGCCAAAGCGCCAGTCGCCGCCGCCGGGCTTGGTGATGCGGCAGACTGGGGCGGAGGGCGGGCTGCCTGTCGGGTTGCCCATTAGGAAAGCGGGGACGGGGCAGTTGTGGGCCAACCGCCAGGTGTAGGTGAGGGTGCTGGTCGGGGTGGGCTTGTAGCGGCAGCCGCAGCTGAAGTTTTCGGAGTAAGACTGGCTGCTGTTCTTGCCCTGCACAGTCGAGAGTCGCAGGCCAGAGGCACATGCGTCAAGGGCGTGCAGCAGGTGGCAGCTGCGGCGGGGCCCGCTGATGGCCCCCGTGGAGAGGGAAAGAGTGTGAGGCAGTCGGGGGGCTGTGGCCCTGCACACAAGTGGGGCCGCATACCAGCGCCCGCCGCTTACCAGGTGCCAGAACCTGCAGTCGCCGCTGACATGGGTGCCTGCGGGGCGGGGGGAGGGGCGGCCGGAACGGAGGGGTGTGCAGGCATGGCGAGGGGTGCTCTGGTTGTGTCCTGTGTCCACTGGCCTCCCTCCTGTTGGCACCGCCCCTGTGTACCTCCGTGTGGTACCACACACAACCACCACGCACACACGCATGCTGCCTCCCTGCCCGCCTCACCATAAAAGGCAAATGCCTTGAGGTCTTTTTCGTTATTGAAATTCAACAGAGCGCACAGCTGGAGGCTGGTGGGCGCCCCGGCGGACTTCAGAGGGACCCAGTTGGCGCCCTGCTTCTTGCAGGTGTCGCTGCAATACGTCTGCGGCTGGAAGAGGCTGACTGCACGCGCAACGCAGCAGCAGAAGGAGGGGGAGTGGGGCAGGCGGGAAGGTGAGTGGCGGCGGTAGGGCTGCAGCCGGGCCGGCAGGGGTGGGGAGCAACTGCACAGCCCCACAGCTGCCATTCACCGCCCAGCAACCCAGCTGTCTCACTCACATCCTGGGTTCTGCCACGACGGTCCCGCGGCAGCCTGCACGCCGTCGTCAGAGGCGAGGCGGCGCAGGCGGGAGGTGGCGGCGCTGGGCGCGGCCAGCAGCGCCAGCAGGCAGGCGGCTGTGGCGGCAAAGGCCCGTAACCGGATCATGTGCTAAGGTCTGGCTGCTTCAGGTGCAGTCCTGCAGCACGGAAACACCAAAAGTGTGCTGTGGTGCGACGGCGTGTGCCATCCTGGCGGGAAGGCGGCGCATGGCACTGGCGACGGTGGCGGCAAGCGGGCCTGGACGCAGGGAGCTTTGCAGCGTTCCTTCCGCAGCCTCCTGCTGCATCTCGCTGCTCCTCAATCATCAAAGAGCGAGGGACCGCGCAGTGCCTGCCGATTTGCAGTGCCTCCCACACACTGTTGGGCTCCCTGGCAGCCCGCTGCCCGTGTTGTACGCATGATCACCTTGAGAGGCGGTGAGCGAGGGCTCGACAGCGAGCGAGGGCTAGCCAATCTGGGCGGGGCGCGGGGCCGATGGGCGGCGGGGACCGGGAGGCAAGGGAGAGTTGGGGAGGGAGGATGGAACACTGCGACGGCGCTGCAAGGATGCCGTTCAAGTAGCGCACTGAAAATGGGGCCCTGGTGGTACGTTTCGGCCTGTCGCACCTGCGCCGCAGCTGCAACTCCTGCTTCCCTGTACCTCTTCTCCAAACCACTGAACACTACAGAGCGGGAAGTAGGGAATGCGAAAAGTGGTTTGCGAACTCGAGCCTAGGGAGCAGCCGCCCACCGCCGCCGCCGCCGCCACACGGGCACCGGGCCAGCTGCTGCCGCTGAGGTGACTTGCGAAGGCTTTGCAACCAGCAGGCCGTCCCTCCCATCTCCTGACCATCACATGTTGGTGGGCGAGGGCTGCGCCGGCTTGCCGGTGGCGCTGGCGAAGGTCTGCAGGCCGGGGGGGGCAGAGGCTGCACCGGTGGAGAGGCTGCACAATTCGTGGGCACCTGCTGGAAGGCCGCCACCCCGCATCAGGAGAAGTACCCCTACCTGGCTACCGCAGATGGACATCCGACCACAACAACCCAACACCAGGATCCCGGCCCACCCACCTGCCCGCGCTCCTCCTCCATCTGCTGCTTGGCGGCGGTGATGGGCTGGTTGGGCGCCGTCCGCGGGAAGGGCACAGGGAGGGGACTCACATCAGCAGGGGAAGTCGAGACGCGAAGTAGGAGCCGCAGGCACACAGGGGGCGGCATCGCCTGGCGCACATCATTACGCCCCCGCACCTTGTCAACATCGCCGCGCTGGAGCTGAGCCTCCCTGCTGGGCACGGGGTCGGCTGGGGGCTGCTTGTCCAAGGCGCCCACACCCATCAGGCCCTGCGCGGAGGAGGACCGGCACGGCGCGTCGGGCGCTGGCGCCCCCACGCCAAGCCTGGCGTGTCCACTGGGCACGGCCAGCAGGTCGACTTGCCCACCCACCTTGTCCTCCTTGCCTGCCGCGGTGCCACCGAGGCCGCCAGAGCCCGGCAGCCCGCCGTCGCGCCCAGCGCTGGTGGCCATCTGTGTCCAGGTAAAGGAGCCCAGGTGGGTGTATGCCTTTGGATGAATGGGGTAGGTTGACCAAAGAATGGACCCCACTGCCTATGTGGTGAAGAAGCACCCTTCTCCCCTGCTGGAAGGTTTCCAGTGGGCACCTTGGATGCACTCGGCCATGAAACCCGAACTTTCAGCTTTCAGGAAGCAGAACTCACAACAATGGAGGCTGTGAAGGGAGCTGTGGAGAGCGCGAAGCAGGCTGCAGGCCTGGGGGCTGAGAAGGCGAGCAGGTTCTGGCTGACCTGCCCCAGCGCCTTGTTGCCTGCCCTGCTCTCCTGCGGACCTGCGGGCTGGCGACGGCTCCCCTCTCCTGCATGGCCGCACGCATGCAGGATGCCGGCACGGGCGCCACGGAGCCGCCGGCTGGCACCGCCCACAAGACGGCGGCTGTGCCGCAGACGGGCGCGGGCGTGGTGGGCAGCGTGCAGGAGGCTGGGCACCGGGCGCAGGAGCAGCAGGGCGCCGACAACCCGGGTGTGTGGTCATGCTCGTTGTTGCATGCACCGTGCTCCTGCGCGTCCCGACTTCCTGAGGCTCCTCCCGCCCGTGCCCTGCCTGATGTCAACATGCCGCTCTGCCTGCTGCAGGGTTTTATAATGCCCAGGCCAAGCTGGTTGACGCGGTGCAGCGCGGCAACGAGAAGCTCAGCGGCAGCAGCTGAGGTGATGAGCAGGGGCGCAGACACGGGCAAGAATAGCAGTGTTGCATTGCATTGCAACGGGATGGGATGAAAGGTTCGGGGCAAACATGTGGGGGAGGCATGTAATTGCATCATTCATTGAGATTGCTCTCGTTGAAATGAGTTGCTGTTGGCAGCCCTGAGCTGGTGGAGCCTGGGCAAAAATCAGTTGACAAAATAGCCATGCGGGCATAGGGCCAGAAAGAATGCCCGCATTCACAAAACTCCTGCGCCCTCATCGCCTCAGCATCTGTGCCAGGCTGTCCACCCCCGCCGCCGCCGCCGCCGCCTGCTTGCCAAAGACTGCGGCATAGAGAGGGCCGAGCTCGCGGGCCTGCTGCCGCTGGTCGCTGCTGTCGGGCACCGCCGTTAGCTCCTCACCATCCCGCATCTGCGGGGCGGGCAGCAGGGAGCGGGGCAGGCACGGAGTGGCTCTGGCAGGGTGCTGTGGCGGCGTGTGAAGGGAGCCGCAGCGGATGTGGAGGCGGCTGCCGCTCCACCATACAGAAAGCTCACACGCTTGCGCAGCACAACAGCCAACCTGCCTTCCCCCTCCCCCGTAGGGGGGGTATTGCTGCACCCTGCCCACCTCAAGGTCTTCGGGTGTTGTGGCGCCAAACACGCGCTCCCCGCGCAGCAGAAACTTCACTGCCCCCAGGCTGATGCCCAGCCGCGCGCAGTACATCTCGAAAATGGCGCCGCAGCGGGTGGTGGCGTTGCAGTAAAACCAGCGCTGCAGAGAAAATGTGGCGAGGCAGGGAGCCGGGTGGGGCAGGGAGAGCAAGCAGAGCCAGTTGGTTGTTGTGAGCATAGCACAGGGCAGGACATGCTGCCCGCGCGAGTGGCGGCGGCCTCTTCTTTCCAAGAAGCGATACACCCAGCCCCACCCCACATCGCTCACCTCCAGCCCAGTGAAGCTACGCACGCAGACAGCCAGGCAGTCGGCTGGATCGTCCTGGAGGCAGGAGCCCACCACGGTGCAGGTGCGGCCGCGCACCAGGTAGAGAGCTGAGCTGGGCGGCTCCAGGCTGTCACGCCGCCGCTGGCCGCCGCCGCCCAGGCTGGCGGGGCCGCCGCCACTGCCGCCGATCGAGCCGGGGCGGCCGCCGCCAGAGGAGCGGCGCCTTGTGCCGGCGGCAGGCCCATCCTCCCACTCCATCTCCCCGCCATCCTCTTGCTGCCCGGATGCCCCGCCAGCTCCAGACGCCAGCCTGTTGCGGCCGCTGGGCCGCTGCTGGCACACCATCCCCTCTGCACTGCGCCGCACATTGCCGCTGCGGGTGACGGGCCGGTCGGCGGCTGCCAGCTCAGCGGCCATGCTGGTACGCTTCTTGTTACTGCAGCCGCAATAGACACCGCGCATAGCCGCCTGCTGGTCAGCACAAACATGGCAGCAGGCCTGCTCCAGTGCAGGGCCTCCCAGCCAGGCCTTGCCTGCCACCCCGGCTGGTCAGAGGCTCGCGTGAGGCAGCCCCCCTCACACTCTCACCTCTTCAGAGAGGCCTGCAGCTCCTCCCATGCCGAGTGCGCCGCCGCGCCCTGCTGCTGGTCGGGCGTGGCCAGCTTGGAAGGGGACAGCAGCGACTCAAACTGCTCCATCAGGCAGCTGACAGACATGGGAGAAAACCTGGCAGGAGCAGAGCAGTGCGAGGATGTGAGGAGGCGGTTGGCAGCAGAAAGGTAGCAAGTGAGGCCGTGGTTGGCAGGTGGCAGCGGCAACAGCAGGTGCATGGAAAGGAGAGCAGGGCGTACCGCAGCAGGCCGCGAGGCAGACAGCCAGCACAGCAGGCGCAAGCTGCCAGCGAGGCATGCACGGCGCCGCCTGCGGCGATGGCGCCCCACCTGGAGCTCACGGTGTGGCCTGCTGCCTCCAGCTGCGGCCGGAGGTCCAGCACAGCGGCGGGGCGCGGGCGCAGCTCAAAGCACAGCTGCGTGCGGCCCTGCGTGGGCTGCTGCTGCCGCTGCCTGCGGGTGCCGGCGGTGCTGCTGTTACTGTCGCTGTCGCTGTTGGAGCGCGTGTGGGGGCCGCCAAAGCCGCCGGAGCCGGCATAGGGGTCGCCCACAACGCGGTGGCAGCCCGGCTGCAGCAGCCCCGTGCAGGCATGCTGCATGGTGTGACCAAGGGTGACTGCCACCTCTCCCTCGCGGAGCGCCACGCCCTGCCACCGCCCCTCGCTGTCCTTGACCTGCCAGGCCGACAGCGCACCCGCCTGCGGGTCCCACGCCTCGCTGGCGTGAAACACGCTCACCAGGCCCCGCTCACTCGCCTCTTCCTGCGGGACAGGTGTGCGGCCAAAGCCAGGGGTAGGCAAGGGCTCAGCACAGGAACAGGCAGAAGCCGGGGCAGGCAGGGGCAGCAAGAGCTAGCTCTCCGCTGTCCTCTCATGCGCCCAGTGGTGCGCGCACGCACACCTGAGGGTCAGCAAACAGGTTGCTGCACACCGCCGAGGTCTCAGCAGCCGACAGGTGGCTGAAGTTGTCTATGAAGGCCTTGGCGGCCAGGCAGGAGCTGCCCTGGGCGCTGCGGGACAGCGGCAGGTCGTCTAGCATGGGGCTGAAGGCATCAGAGCGCAGGCGCAGCAGGCTGCTCCTGCACAGCGCAGACAGCACGAGGCGCGCCGTGCCGTCCATCACACCATACGCCTGCAGCCGGGACACAGGGAGGGCAGTGACGGTGGGGAAGCAAGGGCGGGGATGGGAGGAGGCAGGATGACAGCTTGGAGGTGGGGGGTGGCGTCGGCAGGCGGCGGGACAGGTGGGTGCTGCGGGCCGCACCTCCTCAATGGTGGCTGTTGCGGGCTCCCCGGCCCGCCACTCGTGCACGTCGCAGCCCGGCAGGCTGCGTGTGCCGCTGGCCAGCAGAGCCTGCAGGCCGGCCTTGAGCGCGGCGGCTTGCGCCGGCGGCAGCGACACGACGACAACGCGGCTGCGCGACAGCCCAACTGCCAGCTTTTCGGATGCTGTGGCGAAGATGGGGCTGACCATGCCGCTCACATTCAGCTGCAAGTCCGCCAGCGCGACCCTGGGCACCACCTGGGCCATGGCTGCTGGGAGGGAGAGCTGTTTTTGAGCGGGCCGTCAGCGGCGGCACCGGCGAGCTAACACCGCCCTTTCAAGCTGAAGGAGGCGCCCGATAGCTGTGAACGGCCGCGCTTGGAGGCTACAATCGCGCGCACGTCGAAATGGGACGGCAAGGGCGTGTGGAGGGCGCAGATTGAACAGAAAACAACAAGACGACGTTGGGATAGAGAGGAAGCGCAGGAACGGGCAGGTAAATAGCCAAAGGGGCCAGCGATGGGCTGCCGATGAATGGCTGCGTGCAGGGAGGCGCAAACAAATGAGAAGAATTGCAGCCACCGACGTGCTGTGTGCTGCGCACAGGAAGAAACCACTCCGAGCATTTACATCATCTCTGGCTGCTCGGGGATGGTTCAGCGCTACCGATCTGCCGCCTGCCCCTGCTATCGAGAGTCTTGCGGGCGGAGAATTGCCCTGAGCAGACGCTCTGGCCCGCCACACCTCTTTGCGGGGCCCAGGATGCTCACACACGTGCCCTGGGTGGCGCTGTGGGTGCTGCTGCTCGTGGCGGCTCAGCCCAGCAGGTACTGAGAGCCTCGTGGAGCCGCCCTGCGCGCGGCGGTGCGTACACCTCAAGTAGGGCTCTGCATCCCACCTTGTGCCCCACGCCGGCGCCTGCTGCAGAGCGCAAGATGTCGGTGTTGGAGGTGTGAGCGTCATAGCAGTGGTAGACCCGAGTGAGGTGCGCACGAGGCTGCCGCTCATGCCGGCCACCTGAGCCACGCCACCGCTTGCACCGCCCTTCCGCCCGGAAAGCCCGGTGACGTGTCGCTGCACCTCCTGACGTGCAGGTCACAGACAAGTGGTGGTTCTGGCTCATCAGTAAGCTATTTTTCTGTTCTGTTCCGTTCGGTTCCAGTCGCTGCTGATTGGGGCTCAATCGCGCTCGCTCCCACGCTGACTGCAAACCCGGCTCACCGGCTCGCTTCACTGCGTGCAGTCGGCCTCATTGCCGCTTTCTTTGTCGTGGCCGGCTTCTTTGTGTGGCGCGGATGGCGGCAGTGGAAGCTGACGAAGCAGGCCGAGGAGCAGGTGGGTGTTGGTGTGGCATGAATCCGCTTGCTTTGGCCTACGTTCGAGCCATTGCTGCCCCTGATGGAGGGAGAACGTGGCGTGATCAATGTGCGTGCCCCCTGATGCTGATGTGCAGGCGGAGCAGAAGCTGCAGGAGGAGGGCAAGCTGGCTGGCAGCGGCGGGCGCGTGACGGTGTCGGCGGGCAGCGGCGGGAGGGATGTGGAGCTGGGGCATGTTGGGGTCAGGCCGCCCGCGGCAGGTGAGGGGCTGGGGTTGCGAGCCGCGGCAGGCACCGCCGTGCGCGAACACTACACCAGCCCATGCCTTGACCAGCGCCGCCCAGCCTGCAGCCTGGCAGCTTGAATTGCATGCTGTGCGGCGCCACTCTGCAGGAGAGCCGCTCTCCGAGGACCAGGCGGCGTTCTTGAGAGACCGCGAGAGGCGCACGGCTGTGCACCCCAAGCGCAAGTGGTAGTCCTCTGAGGAAGAGCTCCAGTTGGGAGGCTAATAAGCGTACAGCGCCCCTTTAGCTGTACAAAAGCCTGTACAGCTGTTGTGTGTTGTTCCTCCTGTGGTTGTGTGAGTTGGGGTTCACAATTGTTCTGACGAATCAGCAGTTTTATCTTTTTTTCCAGTACGCTTCTTCTGAGATTTTGGAGCTCTGTATCATCAGCACCGTTCCGGAGGAAATGGGAGGGGCTCCCTGCACTCGGCGCCCGCGCCCGCCAGCTCAGCGGCCTGCTGCCTCGGATGAGTTCTCGGCACTCCTGCCCGCTTTCCGACATTCCGATGGCATTCAATTGAGCCTCTACATCCCGATTATCACACTTTCACGATCACGGCGACGTGTGTTTTGCGCAGCCTCAACAAGTAGCAAATGGAGCCCGGCGTCCCCGCTCCCCCGCTCCCTGGTGAGCAGCTGGACAGCGACATGGAGTGGAAAGTAGGATTGCCGCACGAGGGCGACTTCCTGAGTTATGAGACGCCAGCAGCGGATGCGCCACCGGCTTCCGGCGGCCAGCTTCCGGCGGCGGCCAGCGCGCCAGCGCCTGCCCCGCATGCAGGTCTGGTGCATGCGGGGCTTTGGCCAAAGAGTGGGCTGATGGATGCACCAGCGCGGCCAGTCCTCACACGGCCAGTCCCAATGGGGAGATCTTGCAGCAAGACCGCAGCCCAGCCGCAGCCAGCCTACCCCCGCTGCCAACCTCCAACAGCAAAGCCAGCATCAATCTTGGCACTAACCACACCTGCCTCCCCTTGAATTTGCAGACGAGGGCCCATCGATGCCCAAGAAGCCCAGCGAGGTGTGGAGCATTGCCTCATGTTCCCTCCCACGGCTCGCCTGTGGTGCCCACAGCACGCGTCGCTCGGTTCCCCTCTGCTTCTGCCGACGCACCTGCACTCCGCCATGCCGCAGGACGACATCCTCGTGTTTGGCCAGAGGGTCCACGTGCACGGCGAGCTGGCCAAGAAGGAGGTGCACCCGCCGCAGGTGAGAGGCGGGCCCCACCGCCAGGCATGCCGCCGCCAAACACGCCGGTCGCTCCCATCCCCAGCTAGCCTCTCCGGATACCCGCGGCAGTTCTGCTGGGGCGCAGCCTGGGAGCCATACATCGCTACGCGTCTTTGCCTGCCAGCTGCCGCCCCCGCACGACCCAACAGCTGCACCAGGTGTGGCCCGAGAGACGCACCGCGTACCGCCTTGTGCCCTTGCCCGCCGCCTGCCTTGCCCGCAGCACGCGCCCAAGAACCTCAACTATGCGGCTGTGGCGCGGGAGGAGATCCACGATGTGGCGGTGCACCCGCCGCCGGTCAAGTTGATGGGCGGCGAGACGGGGGTGCAGGCCTGGGACAAGGTCAGCGCATGCTGGCTGCTCACGGGGACGGTCGGTCACTGGTTGCAGTGGCTAGCATGTGTGTGTTGTGTAGTGGTGTGCAGGTGGTGATGGGGAGGTGGGGAAAGCTGTAGGACGTACCGGAGCGGTCGCTTGGGACACATCCCGGCCTCCTCCGCCATGCCCTCAGAGCGGCACCTGCCCGGTCCCTGCTCTGCGCCTGCTCACCCGCCTGCCCGCCTGCCTGCCCAGCAGGTCAACTCGCCCAAGGTGGGGCGGGCCAAGAGCGACATCAAGGAGCTGCTTGTGCCGGGTGCCCACAGCGAGGAGCCCTGACGCCAGGCCAGGTGCAGCCCTGGCGGCACCGGATGGATGCTGCTGCGCCCACCGCCACCTCGCAGCAGGGCTCTGCTTGTACCACGCATCAGGGCAGATGCCCTGCAGCGCTCACTATGCTAAGGCTACAGCAAAGCGGCGAGCAATGGATGACACATGCCGAAGGCGCCAAGAACGCAAGTTTTGAGATTCTGCCCTTTGATTTGTGCATGCCGCCAATGGTGTGCGCATGTCACGATTTTGCCACCCATTTTCCTGCCAGAACAGCCCCCTGGCTTGCCCGCCCTGGAGCTCCATCATTTTTTTCACACACTAGTGTCAGTTGCACTTTCATTGATGTGTAAGTGCGCATGCCCATGGCATAAATACTGACACCAGCGGGCACGTCACACCAAGCAGCAGAGAGAGGGAGCCAAGGTTCGCTTGCACAGGCAGGGGTCACGCAGGCGAGCACACCGAAGAGCATTCATAGCCTAGACTGGGTAGGGAGGGGGAGAGTAGGCACAGAAACAGGGATGATGAGGCGGGGTAACAGCACACAGCGAGGGGGGACAGATAAGGCGCGCCTGCTCATGCAGAGAGGAAAGAATCGCAAAATCGGGGGAGGGGTTCCACGTGGGGGGGTGTGACGGTGGCGGGGACGGGCGCGCGCGCTATGCCGCATCCGCCGCCGCTCGTCCGTCGTGTCACACAGGCAGGGCGGGCCGCTCACACGTGCAGCCCCACCACGCCGCGCTTCAAGCTCTCTGACGCGCGCTTGAGGTGCGGGTCGCTCTCGTGCAGCATCTGCACACGTGGCGGCGGCGGCGGCGGCGCGGGCCACGGTCGGCTCGCCGACAAGCTCGCACAGCCAGGCAGCCACACAACCTGGGGCCCTGTGCTGCAGCAAAGAAGCCAGCCTGGGCTTGCGCGCACACTCCCACCCCTGATCACAAACCCCACCGTACAGGCAACTGTGCCGCCACAAACACCCAGCACCTGGTCCCAGCACCGCACCCACCTTGATGAACTCTGCATAGTCGATGACCCCGTTGCCGTCCACATCGTACCGCGTGATCATCTCCTTCACCTCCTCCTCTGCGCAGGCAGGCACAGTGACATGCGGCACAGGTGAAATGCGGTGCTGTGCAAGACGGCGCAGCAATGGGGCGAATGCCTTGCCAGGGTCAGCAGGCAGCAAATAGCAGCAGGGAGGGGTTGCACAGGCTGGAGGCATCACGCAGGGGTGGAGCGCAAGAACCAGCCGCACCCGTCATCTTTCCGGCCATGCCCATTGCTTCCGCCACCTCATCCGCCGTCAGCGTGCCGCTGCCATCCTGCAGACACAGCGGAGCAGGCGCACACCAAGCTCAGCAGAGCTCGCCTTACACATGCTCGCCAAAAGCAAGCTGGCAAGGAGGCGGACCACAGGGAGAGGGGCAGGCACCTGGCGCCCGCCACATCTTCCCTCTGCCACGCAGGTGCTTGCCCCGCCCCTGTGCCGCAACCCTTCCGACTCCTGACCCCTGCCTGCATCTGCCCCGCCCGCATCTGCCCCTGCCTGCCTCCTGTTCCCTGCCTGCATCAGCCACTGCCAACATCAGCCCCCTGCCTGCCCCACCCCCCCACCCACCTTATCCAGCTTCTGGAACGCCTTGATGCACACCTCCTCCCGCTCCAGCAGGTTGAGGTTCACAGTGCTCGCCACAAACTCCTGCACGCGCACGGCACAGCAGGGCCCGCCAGAACCGATGTCGGCAGGGGCACAGGGCACGCCGTGGCGGCGGCAGGAGACGCCGGCAGCAGCCACCTGCAGCCCTCGTGGTGACACCGGCTTGGAACACTCCTGCTGCACCGCTGCGGTGGCAGCAAGGGCCAGCACCCCCAAGCCCACCTCATAGTCTATCACCCCGTTGCCATCCACATCTGTGTCTCGCAAGATCTGCGGGTTGAAGGGTGGAGCAGGCGTTGGTGGTTGGACCGACTGGGTTGAGGCGTGCGAACGCTGACACCGGTCGCACAAGGGCTCCAACCATGCGACCAGGCGCCGCCGCGGCGCCGCCGCCCACGGTCCCACCTGCTCCACCTCGCCGTCTGCCAGCACGCCCTGGTGGGCCAGCCCCTCCCGCAGCTCGTCCAGCGTGATGTGGCCGTCGCCGTTCTTGTCAAACGACTTGAACAGCTCGCGCAGGCCGTGAATCTCCTCGTGGCTGCGGCGAGGAGGCGGCGGCGGTGACACGGTGAAACACGGGGCCGAGGTGAGGAGAGGGGCTGTGGGAGGGAGCCGCTCAGGGGTCCAGCGGGTTTGCTCAGGGGGCTGATGGGAGACGGCGAGGCATGCATGCAGCACGGCGGCGGGCAAGCTCGAGCCCTCTCTCAGGCCCACAGGCAGACAACTAGCCCCCGAGCCTGCGCCCCCAACACCCGCCCCCTCGAAGCACACGCACCTGAGGCTGCTGGCGGCCGCCAGGATGGCGGCCTTGCGCAGGCGCGTCATGCCCGCAAAGTTGCGCAGGCGGGTGATCACCACATTGTCCAGCGGCCGGTCGGGCGCGGCGCCCTGCGCCGCCAGCCACGGGTGCTGCAGGATTTGCGCCGCGGTGGCACGCTGCGTGCTGTCAAACGTCAGGATGGAGCGCACAAGGTCTGCGGGGTGCCGGGGAAGGTGGGCAGGCGGGGGGAGTGACAGGGTGGGCGCACCGGGGTGGTGAAGATGTTGGGTTGCTCACAGGGAGGGCACTCTTGCACAGCACCGCAGCGGAGAGCACACATGGCCACTACAGTATGCTACTGTATGCAGCATGGAAGAGCGGCATGGTGCTGCCTGCTGGCTGCCAGGCGCCGCGCGCACCCTTGGCGAGATCCGAGATGGCCGGCCAGGGCGCTGTGCTGAAGTCCAAGTTCCCCCGCAGAATGGATGTGAAGATCTCCTTCTCGCTGCAGGCAGGGGCGGGCATGGAGGGCCAGGGGCGGAGCGGTCGAAAGCGCGGAAGGGCAGGGTGGGGCACCGCGGGCGGCGAGCCACACGCCTCAGCAGCAGGCAGGGACGGCCAGGCAGCCGGGGCCCGGGCCTGCTGTGCAGCATGCTGTGCAGCAGCCAGCAGCCAGCCACAGCTCACTCGTTGCCCCAGAACGGCGGCATGCCCGACAGAAGGATGTAAAGCACCACGCCCAGGCTCCAGATGTCGCACTGGGGCCCGTCTGCAGCACACCATTCACCAACAACCACGCCAGGCTCAGCCCCAAGCATATCATGCAGCAAAGGCGACCCCGCAGCTGCCTGAATTCCACCTCGCCCCAAGCCCCTGCCCCTCCCTCCCAGGCTGGCACCTTGGCCAGGCTGCAAATCGGCGTCGACCCACTGCTGCCCAGCCCTGCTCGCAGAGCGAGCAGCACTCACAGTTGCGGCGCAGCACCTCGGGCGCCTGCAGCAGCGGGAGGGTCGGGTCAGGTCGGGGCAAGTGGGGGAGTGAGCCGCGCCCAGCCACCCCAGCCACCCCCCAGCAGATGCGCCAGCCCAGCCCTCCTGCCACCCTTGCCACATACCCATCTGCCCGCCACCCACCACACCACACACGCACCGCCACACACACACACACACGCGTGCCCTCCATCCTCCCCACCCAGCACATACCGCCCAACACACGCCACCCCCCTCCTCCAGGCCCAGCCCACCACGTAGTATGCGGAGCCAATGAGGCTGGTGAAGTGCTGGCCGGGCTTGAAGAAGTCGGACAGACCAAAGTCGCACGCCTTGAGGTCGGCGGCATCTGTGGGGTCGGTGAGCAGGAAGTTCTCGGGCTTGATGTCGCGGTGCATCACCCCCAGCGCGTGCAGGTGCGCCACCTGCGGGGTGGGGATCGAGGGGCCACACGTGTGTGTGCGTGTGTGTGTGTGTTTGTGTGTTTGGGTGGGTGTGCACATGCTGCCACCGGCAGCCCTCGGCCTGATGTCGTTCCCCCAAATGTCTCCAGCCTCCAGCGCCTCCACTGCACCGTCTAGCAGGCTTCCGAGCACCGCCCAGAAGCCAGTGTAAACAAACCGGCGCCGCTTCCGCCGCCCGCCGGCGCGCCCGCCGGCCCCGCCACCACCTCCGCCGCGCGCGGGCACCGCCCGCGCGCGCGCCTCACCATCTCCACCATTGTGCGGAAGTGCCTGGCCGCCTCCGCCTCGCTGAAGGTCCCCTTGGCCACGATGCGCTCAAACAGCTCCCCGCCCGCGCACAGCTCCATGACGATGTGTACCGCCATGCGGTCCTCGTACACCTGGCTCAGCCCCGCCACGGTGCGGTGCGGGGACACGAGGTTGAGGATCTCCACCTGCAGGCGGGGGGTGGCAGGCGGAGGGGCGTGGTGGAGGTGGGGCGGCTGGCAGCAGGCGGGGGCTGCGAGTGCGTGGCGAAGCAGGCAGGCAGCCGGCGGGGGCTCCAGGTGCCGGGGAGCAGGCCGGGCTTTGTGTGCTGGGGAGCACGCTGGGTGCTCCAAGTGCGAAGCGCTGTTCCGGCGTCGGCTCGCGCGCCGATGCCAGCCAGCCGTTCAGCAGCTCCCCGCCGGGCCATGCCATCGGCGAGCACCCAGGCCTGCGCCCACCTCGCGCCGCACGTCGTCCACATCTTCCTTGCTGATCAGCTTGGCCTTGCTGATGCTCTTGCAGGCATACATGCGCCCCATCTTCTTGTCTTGCACTAGGCGCACCACCCCAAACGCGCCCTTGCCTGTGAGCGGAGCAGGGATGCTGGCCGGGGTGGGCACACACGTGGGCACCGGTCGCGGCGGTGCACGTGCGGTGCCCAGCCTGGCTGCCGCTGGCCTGTGGCAGCCGTGCAGCAAGCACAGGGCGGCTGCCGGCGCCCCTGCCGGGGCCCCAGCTGCCTGCGCGCCACTGCCTGCGCGCCGCCTCACTCACCCAGCACCTGCCCCACAACGTAGTCGTGCTCGAGCTGGGGCCTGCAGGAACGGCGAGGTGTAGGGAGGAGCTCAGCCCCTGGGGCTGCCCTGCATCAGCCCGAGCAGCACTTTCCCCCTGGCCCACGGGGCGGCGCTACACACACGCCCCCACGATGCGCCCCCTCACCCGGTCTCTGGGCGGACGATGTCCCTCCAGACCGTCATCGTGCCCCCTGCTCCTCTATCCTCGCACTGGGAACCTCAACGGCGCTGCAGGGCAGGCAAGGGGCTGGGTGGAGGGAGGCATAGGCGGCCAGGGCCGGTCGCCAGGCGGAGGGCGGGTCGCCGCCGCCCACTGCTGGCTACGCCGGGTGTGTCGGCCGAGCCCGCGGCTCTCTCACAACCCACATCGGCGCTTTCCAAGCGGCAGCAGGCCTCCGCTCCTGTGGGTGCGGCAGGTGCTAGCAGTCTGCTGCTTCCGCCTGCTGCCGGGCCTGGGGCCTTGTCCACACCTCACCTTTGGCGCCGCTGAACGCAAATGCGACGGGCGGAGTCCCAGGCGACACCTCCGCGCTCTGTTCAGAGTGTGTTTCCGCGCCTGGGCCACCCGCAAGGCGTGCAGCCGTGCAGATGGCAGGGGTGCCCGCTCGCTGATGACAGAGAGACAAGGGGGCCGAGCTGCAAGGCTCTGATGAGGCCTACGTACAGCTGGAGGCTCGCATCGCCGAGGTCTTTGCGCTTGCATTGCCCCCGCCGCCTCATATCAACCCCGCTCTGGTCCCCACCTCCATGCCAGCCTGCAACGGGCCCCGATCGCTCAGCTGATCAGCGCTAACGACATACGGGCAACCATTTGAACGCTGCTGCCTGCCAGAAGCAGAGATTCGAGCCCCAGAAGCAGGGGAATGGCTGCGGGCAAGCGTGGGGGCCGGGGCGCCAACAAGCGGCGGCGGCATGGGCTCGCCGCGGCGGTGCAAGCGCTGCAGGCCCTCGACAGCCGCCTCTCCAACGCCCTCTTCCGCCACGGCAGCGGCGTGCCGCGCCTTGTGTGGAAGCTGTTTGAGCTGAGCGGCGACGGCCTGGTGTGGCTGGCGCTGGTGGTGTGGCAGGTGATGCACCCCAAAACGCCGCAGACCGTGCGTCACGCCTGGATCGCCTTCCTGCTGTGCTGGGCCATCGACCTGGTGCTGGTGGGCTTGCTCAAGGCCATCGTACGGCGCAGTCGGCCCGTGTACAACGTGCTAAACGACATGACGGTGGTGGTGGCAGTGGATGCCTTTTCCTTCCCTTCGGGCCACAGCAGCAGGCAAGCGCGTGTGTGCGCCCAGATGTAGCAGAGTGGGTGCCGCGGCACAGGCAGCAGAGGAGGGCAGCAGCGTGCCACTGCCGCTGGCTCCTGTGTGGGCATGCCGTGGCGACCGCAGCATGCATGCACTTGGGCATGCCCGGCCTGACAGCTCAACGGTGCCTGCATGGCCGCCTTGTCCGCAGGGTCTCCTTTGTGGCAGTGTTTGCGCCGGTGGTGCTGGGCCACACCCAGCCCTGGCTGTGCGTCGGCTTGGCTGCTTGGGCCTTGGCCACGGCGCTGAGCAGGGCGGCAATGGGGTGGGCAGTGCTGCCACGCCAGTACCCTGCTGCGACGTGGCGTGCACGGGCGATGCGCATCATGGGATCATGCCACACTCCATCTGCCTCTGCAACTCCTATTTTCCTACACCCCTGACACACCCCGCCGGCCTGCAGGCGGCACTACCTGTCTGATGTCCTCGCTGGGCTGGCCATTGGATTTGTGACGGTCGGCATCGCCACCATGGTGCGGCCGCTTTAGCTTTTGCTTCAGGCCGCGGCAGTCTGGCGCCTGCTGCTGATCCATCAACGCCACACATGCTCTTGGCTTTGGTTTTGCAGGGGCAGTACAGTACGGCTGGGCTGGTGGTGACCGAGGCGCACAGCGACGCGACGTATGCGGCACTGCGGAGCCTGCTGTCGCCCTCCCGCGGTGTCAACACCCTGCCCATTGTTTGATGCCATGCGCAGGCGTGTAGCACAATCGTTTCCTGTGAATTGCTGAGCTGACTAGAGGGAACGACCGAGTGCGGCATGTGTGGCGGCGCCCACGTGGCACCCCCGCTGGCGACGTCGGCGGCTTCTTCCAGATGCAGAGCCCACTCGCGGGGCTCAGTTCCACCCCTCATCTTCATCCACCATCAGCTCTTCAGTTTCCGCGTGCTGCTTCACAAGACGCCCTCTGTTGTGGAGGCAACTCGGCCCCCACCCGGCGTGACAGCATGGTCAAGAAGGCGCCCAAGAGCAGCGGGAAGGGGCGGCAACGGGCCAGGGCCGCAGCGCCGCCGCCCCCACAGCAACCAGAGGTCGAGGACTCGCAGCCGGGGCCCAGCAGCAGCTGCGAAGACCGGCCAGTGCGCGTGTATGCCGATGGTGAGGGCTTCGGCCGCAGCTCACCACCGTGACCGCAGCCGCATGTCCTGACGCTGATCAGTGCGCGCGCTAGGATATGACTTTCGGCGCTGGAGGGCGCCCCTGCTGCAGGCGTGTTTGACCTGTTCCATTTCGGCCATGCGCGGGCGCTAGAGCAGGCCAAGCTGAGGTGCGGCGCCGCCACCATTGTCGCCACCGCTGCGCTGGCTTCGCCTGCAGCTTGCTAGTGCCAGCAACCCGCTACGCGCTCCACCTGCGCCCCAGTTCTTGGCGCAACGAGCCTCACCTCCGCTGCTTGCCCCTGCACACAACCACGCCTCGCCTTCCCTTGCGAGCGCTGACACCGGCCTCCCTGCCATCTCCTTCCCGCCTGCCACCTGTCCCCGCAGCTTCCCAAACACATATCTCATGGTGGGCGTGTGCAACGATGCCGAGACGCACAAGTTCAAGGGCAAGACGGTGATGACAGAGGACGAGCGCTACGAGAGCCTGCGCCACTGCAAGTGCGTGGCCGGGGCGGCGCAGCGTGGCCGCCGAACTTCCGTGGGCGGGCGGGCGGCCACATGGCTGCATGCCCCTTGTGGACGGCCGCCGCCCTTGCAGCAGCTGCAGCTGGGTGCTGTGGTAGCAGCTCTGCCCCGCTCCAAACCAAGCCACCCACCCGCCGCTGCTGCCCCAGCCCTGCCCATTGGTGCCTGCCCTTGCCTGCTTCCACGCGCCAACGTCCCCTGGGCTGCTCACGCCAAAGCCTGTACGCACCCGCCGGCACAGGTGGGTGGACGAGGTGGTCCCCAACGCCCCCTGGGTCATCACCAAGGAGTTTTTGGACGAGCACAACATCGACTTTGTGGCGCACGACGCGCTGCCCTACGCAGACGCCACGCTGGGCACCGGTGCGCTGCTGGCGCTCACCGGCTGCAGCCTGCAGCCTCGAGCAGGGGCCGGCCCTCCCTCGTGCTTGGGGTGCAGGCAGCGGGGGAGCCTGCGCACCGCGGCGGCCACCTGCTGTTGCCTGGCTGCGCCAGCCTAGCTCGCCTTCCCATGCTTGCTGTGCCGCAGACGATGTGTACGGGTTTGTGAAGAAGCTGGGCAAGTTTAAGGAGACGAAGCGCACCGAGGGGGTGTCCACCTCGGACCTCATCCTGCGCATCATCAAGTGCGTGCCTGCGCTGCCGCTGGCTGCCGCTGGGCTGCTGCCAGGCTGCGGATGGCAGGGCAAGGCAGCGATGGCAGGCCAGATGGTGCTGGCTGTGGCGCCCCTGAGCGGCCCTCAACACACCCTCTGACCGCCTCTCCTGCACCGCTCTGCCTGCAGGGACTACAACGACTATGTGCTGCGCAACCTGTCTCGCGGCTACTCGCGCAAGGACCTGGGCCTCAGGTGGGGTGCGGGCAGGGCGCCGGAGGCCTGCCGCTGTTTCGTGCATGCTGGCGCTGCGGCCTGTGGACACGCCCGCGCGCCTTGCCCAGGCCACAGCCGCCTCTCCACGGCTGCACCAGCCAGCCAGCCAGCCAGCCAGCTCGCCAGGCAGGCCCCTCTAGGCACTCCCATCTCCAGTGGCCCAGGGTACCAGCGTTCCCTGCCTCTGACCCTGCCCCCGGCCCCTGCCTGCCTGCCTGCAGCCTGCTCAAGGAGAAGCGCATTAAGGCCGGCATGCACATGAAGCAGCTGAGCCAGAAGGTGCGGCAGCAGCGGCTGCAGGTGGCCGACCGCATCCGCAAGCACATGGTGGACGCGGTGCCGCGCATCCTGCCGGTGGAGGTGGAGGACAGGGTCAAGGACTTTGCCTCCAATGTGGAGAGCCTGGTGGACAAGGTGGTGTCAGGTGGGCGTGGGACGGGGCCGGGGAGAGGCTCTTTGCGGCTGGGCAAGCGGCTGGGCTGGCAAGGGAAGAGGTTGTTTCAGGATGAGCCATGCGGCTGGGCTGGCACCGCCTGGGGGTGGGCTGGGATGGGGGCTGGGTGAGGGTGAGCTTGGCAGGCTGTTACGTATTGACACAACGCGCTGCTGGCATTTGCGCGGCCACCCTACGCTTGCTGCTTCACCTCCTCCAGAGGCTCACCGGGCCGCTCACTTTCTTCTCCTGCCTGGGCCAACCTGCCTGCAGGCGAGGCCGGGCTGGAGCTGGTTGAGAACATGGACAAATACGTCTCTGGTTTCATCTCCGGCTTTGAGCGGCGGTACAGCCGGCTGGAGCGGGTCATCAAGCATACGCTCACCCGCACCGTGCTGCAGAGCCCCGCGCGCAAGAAGAAGGCGGCCGCGGCGGCCGCGCTAGCGGCGGCGGAGAAGCAGCAGAAAGCGGCGGGGCGCAAGCAGCTCAAGGCTGCGTGAGGCGTTGATGTGTGTGCCTCGCGGCGCGGCAGCTGCGCAGCCGCTGCACCTCCAACACTGGATGCATGTCGCCTTGGCAGCTGGAACCGTCGCGCCATGGCGCAGCCCTCGCCAATGTACGCATGATGCATAGATTAGCAACTGTTGTCAACACCACAGCACCTGTCCTTCTCTCTTGCCGCACTGTAGTGTTCTTTGCAGCCCGCTGCTGCCCCGCCTGACTGTCATCTCTCCACGCATTCATTGACTTGTCTTTCTTTTCTCGCTTTTTCTGCAATAGTTTTTTCGAGCTTCTTGTTTTTGTTCCCTTGCTCCCGCTGCCGTTTCGCAGCAGCGACCTCCCCACAGTGGTACCTGAATGCCGAGCATTGCCCCCCTACTCTGTTCCTTGCCTTGAAGCGGCGGTGTACCCTCGTGCCCTCGCCGTCCACCTCTGAATGATCCCAACCCAAGACGAGCTTGTAAAGCGCCCACACGGCTGTGGTGATGTCCATGATGTGAGGTTGCCTGCGGGCTGGCAGGTGCTCCCTCCCCCACATTGTGCTGGTGGAGGGATGGCCATCTGCCTTCCCGCGACGGCGCCTTCCTCCTCTCCTGCCGTCTTCTCCACACATGCCCTGGTCTCTACCCAATGGAGGAGGTGGGCCCTGCTGGACACGTCTACTCACTGTTCCGCTTGTTCTGCTGCCTCACCTGAGGCATCCAAAAACAGGCACCCTCTCTCTCTGTCCGCTCAGCTCGACCCCCCATCCCCACTGGCCCACCACCGCCGGCCCTCACCAGCGGCAGCAGCCACTGCCCCCTCCACCAGCCCAGCGCCCAACCGAGTGCCCTCAACAAGAAACAGCCAGCACCCATCCTGAGGCGAACCGCTTCACGCTATCTGTTACAAAGCTGGCTGGGATTGTGTTGTGCTGCACATTCGCCGGATTCAAATGCACGAAAGCATCAAGCTTGAGTCCTGGACTCCAAACAAAACATGCACTCAGCTAACCAAAACAATGCAAAAAAACACCGACAGTATCGCTATATGCCTCGCTGACCGCTAGGTCACGGATCCATTGGCGGATGCACCAGGGGCGCTAGCAGGGTATGGCATCAGAGTGCCCTTTGTGTTGAGCGCCAGCTGTCTCCCTCCACCTGCCAGCGAGCAGGCAGCCAGCTCACTTGCGCTTGCTGATCTTCTTGGCAGCTGCCAGCACGCTGCCGCCGCCGATGGTGGCGCCGGGCACCTCTTCTGCGGGCACCACAGGCACAGAAGTGGTGGTGGTGGTGGTGCGCACCACAGGCACAGCTGTGTCGCGGGCGGTGGCGCGGGTGGCGGCAGCGCCCGAAGGGCGGCCGGCGGCCCGCTGGATGTTGGAGCCTGCGGTCTCGGGGGTAGCGTTGGTGTCAAACGCGCCGGGGCCTGCAGCAGTAACGGAGCGAAGCAGCAGAAGCAGGAAGCACAACTCAGCGCTCATCCAGCAGTGATGCGTGCATGAGGGGCAAGCGGCTTGGGCCGTGCCTAGCATAGTTGCAGCTGCAGCCAGAGAGCCCGCCCACCTGCGCTGGCGACTGCCTCAGGGTAGGCGGCAGAAGAGCCCAGGGCAGAGCCAGGGGCGCTCTGATCAACCAGCGCTGGGGGCACCGGCATGATTGGCGCAGCTGCGCGTGCGTGAGCAGCGGTGGCGCGCGGCGCGGGGGTGGTGGTGGTGGTGGCGGCCTTCTCCTTGGCGGCAGCAGCCACGCTAGCCGCGGTATCCGAGGCTGCAGGCGGGGGCAGCAGTACCATCAGCAGGAGGACCGTCAGCAACCAAAGGCCAGCGGCAACCGGCTGGCAACGGGAAGGCGATAGCGAGGCGCGCTGGCCACGGCTGTACTGTGATTTGGGCGCAGCTGGGGAGGCAACCCACCCGCGCCGGCGGCACCAAACAGCTTCTCCTTGCCAGCCTCGGTGGCAGCAGCACCCTCCTGCTTGCCCTGCTCATAAGCCTCGCCTGCAGCAGGAGGAGCGGAGGCACAAACCACGGCCGCTGCGCCAGTCAGTCAGTTTACAGCGCTGCAGCAGCCATGAAGGTGCTGCAGATGCGTCACTTCAGAAACCGTTTTTGAAGTTGCAAAAGGGGAGGGAAGAGTCGGGAGAGAAAAAAAGGCCAAAAACGCAACACCAGACGAAGGGGAGGGAGCAGGGGTCAACATTCTCGCCGCGGGCGGCTATGTGCCAGTGAGCGCGGTGTGGTGCTACCTTCAGCCAGCGGCCCTGAGACAGGCCGACCACCGCCACATACTGCAGAATGGCGTCCTCCCGCCCACGGCGCTGGCACCAGTCCTGGTACCGGCGCGGCGCTGGGGGGAGGACTCCATTCTTCAAGATGTGACCGCGGTCGGCCTGCTTCAGGGCCGCTGGCTGAAGGTAGCACCACACGGCAGCGGCGTCCAGCCGGCATTCAGTTGGGTCACCGACTGGCGGGATGCAGGACTTGCGGCCAGGGGTGGAAAGTGAAGGCTGCTGGCGGTAAGATGCGAGGCTGGGCCCAAGAGTGCAGCAGGATGCATGCAGGCTGCCTCCCTGCCTTCCATCGCTCCAGGCTCACCCAGGCGCCTGGTGCCCATCTGGATGGCCTCCCCGCCTGCCTGCTGAGCGGCGCCGGCGGCCTCCTGGACCGCAGCGCCGGCGGCACCGGCGGCGCCCGCGGCGCCCTCCACCGCCGAAGCGGCGGTGTCCTTGGCAGCGCCCACGGCGCCGCCTGCAGCGCAGTAGGGTGCGTGGCCAGGGCAAGGCCAAATGCCGCATGAGATAGATGCAGAGAATATGGTAGGCTTGGGACGGTGCTGCCGCCGTCTCGCTGGCCCCTGCCCTTTGCACAACCAGCTTCCGCACTTGCCCCGCGGCCTCGGCACAGCTCACCGATGGTTTCGGCGGCGGCCGCCGCCGTCTCGCGAGCCGCCTGCTTGGCGGCCTCCAGCTGGGGGCCGGCCTCGCGCTTGCCCTGCTCGTAGCCCTCGGTGGCGCTGCCCAGGGCGGCCTGTGGCACAGGGGGTGGCAGGCGGCAGGAGGTGAGGTGGAAAAGCAGCAGTGGGTGGCAGGCAGCGGGTCTTTGCAGTTGGATGACTCGATCGGGAGCCTGGACCTGCGGCTCGAACAGGCACTCCGCACACCATGTTGCCGCCCCTCAAACCGCTCGGACCCAACTCACCTGGGCAGTCTCCATGGTCGCCTCCGCAGTCTCGGCGGCCGCCTCGCCAGCCGCCTGCACGGCGTGCAGCACGCCCGTCTGCGCGCCGGCGGCGGTGGCGGCCGCGGCCCCGGGCGCCTTCCCGGCGGCTCCCACGGCGGAGCCAGCCAGGTACTCGGCGCGCTCAGTCATGCCTGCAGGTGGCAGGTGGTGCATGGCACAGGGCAAGGCAATTGGTGGGAGGGAGGGATCAGGTGTGGTCTGCCCGAGTCGGATGCGCAAAACCGCTGCCTCAGGGCTGGCTGTCCTCACCCTCAATGGCCTGCTCGGTGCCGGCCTTGGACTCCTCGAAGCGGGAGGCGTAGGCCTGCTGCGCGGGTGCCAGCACGCGCTGCAGCACGGCAAGGTGGGGAGCGAGGAAAAGGATCTCAGCTCAGTGCATGAAAGCGGGTGGCACTGCCCAGGCAAGGGGCTGCGGGGCAAGGTTAGGGCAAAGGGCAGACAAGAAGGAGCATGTGGTTCCACCCTCTGCTGCCAAAGCCCACCTGCACAGCCTCCTTGACGGTGGTGGTGGCGGCAGCAGCGGTACCCATCAGGCGCTCAGTTGCAGCCTGCAGGGGGACCAGGGAAGGCAGCAGGTGAGCAGGGCGAGCGCCTCAGCAGCCTGGCTCTGGGCTTTCATGGTTGCGCGCTGTGGCAATGTTTTTACCTGAGCGGTGCCAATCAGTGGGGCCGCCTTCTCGCGGGCCGCCTGCTGCAGGCCAGCCGCCGCGCCGCCCGCGCGTTCTGCAGCAGGACAAGCACAAGGGCAAGCACCTCAGCATGCTAAGCCATGACTCGTTTTGTTTATCCCAGCAAGCACACAACCACACAGCGCAGGCAGCACAGTTGACAGCAGCACTTGCCTGCGCCAGCGCGAGCCGTCTCCTCGGCGCCTCCCACGGCCTGCTGGGCGGTGTCGGCAGCGGTCCCGTACAGCTGGGAAGCCGTGTCGGCGGCGGTACTGTAGGACTGCCCCACCATGCCAGCGCCCAGGCCAGCGGTGCGCCCGCCGCGAGCGGCGGCGGCCTGCAGCGTCTCGGCGGCAGCGCCGGGCAGGGCGGGGGCGCGCTGGGCGGCGCCAGCCACGCGCTCGCCTGCACGAGGGCGGGACAAGCAGCTGAGCATGGTGTACTGCAATCCTCTGTCAACCAATGCAGCCCTCGGAAATGCAGCACTGGCAATAGCAGTGGTTCTGGGTGCGGAACCTTGCCAGACCACCACCACCACCCACCTGCGGTGGCCGCCAGGTTGGCGCCCGCAGTGCCAATGTCCTCGGCACGCTGAGCCCCCGCCTCCTTCCCGCGGCGGAAAGCCTCGGTGCCGGTCACGCCCTGCGGGGTTGGGGCGGCGGTCGCAATCAGCGGTTCAGCATAACCGAGCACAGCTCGGCTTGGTATGCACCTAGGGAACCTGCCTGGCACTCGAGCTGCTCTCGCAGCGAGGCAGGCGGCCCTCGCGCAGCCAGGCACCCACTCAGCAACAGTCAGTCACCTCGATTGTTTCCTGCATGTTGTGGCGCGCATTGCGCTGCACATCCTCGCTCAGCAGCCGCACGCCCTCGGCCAGGCCGCTGGCGGCGCCCGCGGTCTGCGGGGGAAGGAGCCAGCAGCCAAACGCACGCGTGAGCGGCTGAGGGAAGGGGAAGTGGGGAGTGGCTGCCACAACGCATGTGGCAGGCAGCCAGAAGTGAGAGGGGGGCCGCACCGTGAGCGTGGCGCGCTCAGCCAGGAGCGCCAGGGCCACCCCCGAGGTGGTGGTGGTGTAGGCCATATCCACAATGGTCTGCAGGCAGGCGAGAGGGAGACGGCGCATTGGGAGCGGCAGGAAGGGACAGCGACAGGTCAAAAGCGTTTCCCCTGCATTGCCGGAAGAGAGAGGCTGTTGCTGGGGACAGCAGGATCGGCAGTCAAACCAGCCCCATTCCCCTGGCTCTGCGCCCTGCCAACCCAGCACCTCTTCTTGGTCCCCATGCCTCCCACAGGACCGAGGCGCCCCCCACCTGCAGCGCGCCGGCGCCCAGGTGGATGGGCACGGCGGCGATCGCCAGCGTGGCGTTGGCCGCCAGCCTGGCAGCCATGGCACCAGCCTCCAGCGCCTTCTCTGCCACGCCGCTAAGGGTGCCAAAGGCTGCAGGTGGGTCACGAGTAGGCAGGCAGGCAGGCAGGCAGGATCGTGAGCCAAAGGGTAGGAGGGGACCCATGCAAGGGAGACGAGGAGGCACCCCGTGCCACCAGCCCTGGCTGGCCACGCTCCGCACCTGTGCCAGCGGCGGCGCCCACCGCCTCGCCCGCAGCGGGCAGGGCGCGCTCGGTCACGCCCTGTGCGACACCGCTGATGGCGCCGGCGGCCTGCGGTGGCAAGGGGACCGCAGAGGGGTAGCGTTGTTGCTTGAGCAGAGCACGGTCCTTGGAGAGCGAGTGTAGCCCTCTGCAGACTAGCCTCCAACAGCAGGCCTAGTGGCCCACCTGGTATGCCGCTTCCTCGGCAGCGACGCCCACGGGCTTCTCGGCAGGCACGCCCACCACCTGCTTGGCGGCCTGCACACACATGCGCACAAACCCACGGGCCGGCTCATCAAGCTTTCAGGTCAAAAGAGTCCCGGCGCACTCGGGCACTGGAGCTGTTGGCAGCACCTGCGCGGGCATCCACCCCTGCAGCCCACCTGTAGAGCGTGGGTGGCCTTCTCCTGGGCGGCGGCGGTGACGCCACGGCCCGCCTCTGCGGCCCTGCCCGTGATGTCAGCAAAGGGGGCGCCTGCAGCCAAGGCGGCACAGGAAAAACAGTGCAGGCCTCAGCGCCTTACCGTCGCAGAAGGAGCAGGCAGGGAGGTGGAAGGCAGCTGGAGCGGGTGCAGGAATCAAAGCTTGCCTGCGGGGGCGCCGGTGGAAAGGGCCTCAGACTTGACAGCGGAGACGGGCACACACACCATCTCCTCCTCTGCACAGCACCAGGAACACGGGGGCAGCGGTTGGGGACGAGGACAGTGGCTAGGTAGAGAGGGCAAGTGGACACATGTCCCTAGCTGGAGCCCCTGCGTGGCCAGGCACCCAAGGTTGCCTTGGTCAGGCAGCCGAGCCGCCACAGAAGGGGAGCACTGGAGCGGAGGCATGAGGTCAGGGCTGCCGCAGCCTGGAAGCTCACCCTTAGCTCCATAGTAGGCCCCCTTGGCGGCCTGCTCGGCGGCGTTGAGCGCGCGGCTTCCAACCTCCTTGACGCCGCCCGCCGCGGCCTGCACACAGGGCAAGCGGGTGAGTAGCAGGACAGGCATTCAGCAAGCGGTAAGGCAGGGCTCAGCTGACGATAGCCGAGCGGCATAGCAGTCGCAGCGGTAGCGGCATAGCAGTCACAGCCAGGGTACTGCCCACCTGCGTGGCACCCACGGCGGCGCCGGTGGTGTAGGCGGCGCCCTCGCCCGCCCTCATGGCGCCCTCGCCCGCGGCGCCGGCTGTGGAGACCGCAGTGTCGCGAGCGGCGCCAGCCACCTCGCCTGCAGGCAGCGGGAAGGATGCAGGCCGCAGGCAACGCGGGGCAGCTCTGGCTGAGCGGCTCGTTTGGTGACAGCGCCAAGGTGCTGAGCTGGCCAGAACCCACAGACAGCGCTTTCAGGCTGTTGTTCCACCGAACACTGTTCTTTATGGCAGCATGGCAGTCAAGGATGCCTCCAATTCTTCTCGGTCTCAGACCCCGGGGCGTCTATCCCTAATTCCCACTCCCCAGGCAGCCAGGCTCACCTGCGCGGGCACGCGTCTCCTCAAACCGCTCGGCGTCGGTGTCAGTCAGCTCGCGGGCCGCTCCCTGGGCCGACTCTGCCGCGCCGCGGGCCTGCAGGCAAGCAAGGCAAACGGGAAATGGCGCGCAGGTGAGCCTCGTTCATTCGCCGCCAGACATGCCTCTCCCCCAGGGAACGCAGACGGTGCGGGCAGCCGTCGCAGTGGACGGCCATGCCAGTGGAAGCGAGCCAGGCGGCACACGACCTGCTCCTGGCCGGCGTACAGGGTCTGGCGGGCGATGTCCTGCATGCCCGCCACTCGGTCGGCTGCAGGGGCAAGGTACACCATGTGGAGTTGGCAGGGACGCTGCGCTGCCAGTGCAGGCTCCCTGCGAGCGGGAGCTGCGCCGGCCATGCAAGCATGCCTGTGTCTCGTGCAGCTGGCCGGCGTCCAATGCTTGGCCGGGCTGGGACGACCGTTGCTACGTGGGAGACACAGGCCCAGCTTGCATGCCCAGCGCTGGTGCGCCGCCCCCGGCGCCGCGCCCACCCAGCGGCTCGCCTGTGGCTGCGCCCAGCCCTGTTGTGCGGTTGGCGTAGGCCGAGGAGGGGGTGGAGGGAGCCTCCTGGCCCAGCACAGGCTCCCGCACGTGCTCCGCCACGGGGCTCTTCTGGCTCTTGGTCACCTGCGGCAGCGGCACACGCGCACCCAGCCAGGTTATGGAGTGGGTTGACAAATGGGGCTGTCTGTTGTGGGATGATGCCTTTGCACGAGGTATGGCAGAGGGAGCCTGCTGCGTGCCATCCTGGTGCACTCACGCCCCATGCCCTCGGCCTGGCAGCCCACAATGCCTGCCTGCTGCCAGCCCGGCAGCTTCTAAGGCAGGAGCCGGCCGGAAGCACAACCCGCGCCGGCAGCACAACCCGCGCCGCCCCTTGGACCGCCCTGCAGGCCGACCTGGTGGGTGTCAGGGGCGGTGCGGCTCTCGCGCACCACCTCCCTGGTCACGCCCACGCCGTTGGCGCTCATTCTGGCAGCGGGGCGGCGGGCTGCTGGCTGTGTCACTGATGATCGGACAGCTGCACAGTGAATGTCCCTTGGGCTGCTTTCAGGGCTGCTGGAACGGGGGCAGGCTGTGTATAGAGAAGGGGAATGTGGCAGACTCGGGGGCCCGTGGGCGAATGAACCGCCGCCACCCTGCTTTCCAGCCCTGGTGGAAAGTATGCTCGCATTGTCATAGCTTCCCTTCAGCGCAGAGCATCAAGAAGTTTGCTGTTTTGACACACGTGCCCAGCCCAGCCCTCGCCCTCGCCAGCTCCTGACGCGCTCCAGCTCAAGGGGGACGCCATGAGCTCGGTGGGTTTGTGGGCACCAAGGTCCAAGACTGCGTGCCTAGGCCCTGCTGCTGCTGCTGTGAGGCATGCAGGACGCAGCACCCTGCTCGGCAGCCCGCCTGCTGGCCAACAGCACCCACCGCCTGCGCCCACCGCGCCGCGCCGCCCGCTCCGGCCCTGCAGAAGCACCACCCCCCGCCCGGCCCCGACATCCCGCCAGACACCCTGGCCCAGGCTGCCGCCTACGACTACGAGGAGTTCGAGGAGGACCAGGCCGCTGTGAGAGGGGTGGCTTTGGGAGCGCAGCGCTGGCAGAGCTGCTGAGGCAGTGCGCAGCGGCACTTCCCTCCTCCTCTGGTTGAATGATGGATTGAAGCGCTGAGCATGCCGAGGTAACCTTCGACCCTCTTCCCTGTGCCCCGGCCTCGGCCCTGCGCCCTGCCCTCGAATGCAGGCCGCGGCGGAAGCCGCCGCGGCGGCCGCCAACGCGGCGGCGGAGAAGGCCGGGGAGGCGGTGGGCGGCATGCGATCCACAGGTGCCTTTTCGGCTGCTGGTATCGGTTGCCGGCACAACCCGAGTCCACTGAATGGCTGTCAGTTGCCTGGTGCATGGGCGGCACACTGGCTGTGAGCACGTCCGGGTGCTGCTGCCGCGCCGCTGCTGCCTGCAGGCGCCGCGCTGGGCGAGACTGCTGCAGCTGCCGCTGCCCGCGCCGCAGAGGCCAAGGAGGCTGTGGCCCACACTGCCACTGACCTGGGGTAGGTGGCAGGCGGTTGGTGGCACGGCGGTGCCTGACAAGACCCAGCTGGCGGCAGCCATGCCCCCTGCATTGGAAACTTGCACCGTGCCCCGCTCCCGTCTGCCTAATGCTGCCACGCACCGCCTGTCGCCCCCTCTGCAACACCCTGCAGCGCATCCACCACAGGGGCCGCGAGAGACGCGGGCCACCGCCTGGAGTCTGCGGCAGAGGAGGCCGCAGCCCGCGCGTCTGCCGCCGCCGAGGCCGCCCAGACCAAGGTGCACGATGCGCAGGTGTGGGGGCAGGCATGCGCCGCCTGGCTGGCTCTGCCTCTTGGACCCAGCTGCTGCTGCTGCTGCTGCTGCTGTTGCTGCTGTCTGGGGTTGGGTGACGTGGAGGGTCAGGCACCAGCACACCTGGCCAGATCTGGGCGAGCTGCACCCAGACCGCTGTCACTGGTGTTTGGTGCCGGTCTCAGCGGTGTCGGCGGGCCAAGCATTGCCAGCGAGACAGAAGAGAGGCGTGGTGTAAGCACCGGCCGGCGCCTGCCTCGCGCCTGCGCTGAGGTCCCCGCTGTGCTGCCCTGCTTGCCCACCATCCTGGCTCGCTGCCAGTCGCATGAGCGCCACGCACACCCGGCCAAGGGTGTTTGCCGCATCCAGTTTGGCCGTGTCTAGGCACTCAGTTCCGTACACACAGTTACCAGTGCGCTAACTGTGTGTACCAATGCGCACAATGAAGATGAGAGGGTTCTGGCAGAAAGCATCACCATTCAGCAAGGGATGTCCTCCCGGCCTATACAAAGCTCGATAGGAGCGCCAACAGCGCTCATGCACCGCTGAGTCGTGCTGGCCGGTGGGGACGTCCTGGGCACGTGGCTGATGTTATTGCCTTGAGACCGCTCATTGGTGCTACTGGGAGGCAGCGCTGCTGCTGCTGCGCAAGGATGCTTTCACCCTGCCCACATGCCCATGGTCCTGCTTCCTGTGAAGGGTCTTCCAACCGTTTGCGGAGCATTGTTGAGCAATGCGCTGCCAACTGGCTGTCGGCCTCGAGCACGTGGCACGAGCTGTGACTCATGTGTTGCAGAGATCTGTGGCTGCATCCAGCACCAGCGCTGGGCAACCAGCATACATGAGTCACGGCGATAAGCCTGTGCCCAAAGCTGAACCCAGAAGTGCCTGTGTGTGGTTCAGCTTAGTATGATTCAGCTGTATCATCCAGGAATGCCACCGACAGCATGACGGAGCGTGTGTGTGCGTGTGTGTGTGTCACAGCCCATACCGTACTCCCCAGCCGCCCGCCCCAGCATCCACCTCCCACACCCTGCGCCTGGCACCCCTGGTGTGCAGGTGGATGCTGGCGGCTGGAGCTGGGAGGGCGCCAAGGGCTGGGCACACGCCGAGTGGGAGGACTGGCGCCAGCGCCCACAGCAGTGGCTGGAGGGCGCCGAGCAGGCCGCAGAGGAGTGGCGGGAGCGGCTCAGCTGGGAGGGCTTCCAGGCGTGGCAGGAGCGGCACTGGCAGGCGTTTGAGGAGCGGCAGCGGCGGCGCCTGGCAGCAATGACCGAGGAGCAGCGGAAGTGGTGGCGGGCCTGGGAGGAGCGGCAGCGGCAGCGCCTGGGGGAGCTCACGGAGGAGGGGGAGGCGGTGGTGCGGCGGGAGGTGGGGGCCTTTGAGGAGCGGCAGCAGCGCTACTGGGCGGCCCACCACCCTGAGGCGCAGCAGGCGCAGCGGGGCGGCACGCCCACCTGCCCCAGCTGCCGCCTCTCATTCCTCATGCTGCCCCTGCTCCCAAACATTCGCGAGAGCATGGAGCGCTTCGGCCGCAGGACAAAGGTTTGCGAGGGTGGGGGGTGGGGGTGGGGGCTGGGCCTGCAGCCTGGAGGGCTGCCGTGTCACGTGGGCACCGCGTCACGGTCGCACGACAGCAAGTTCCTCCATGCCATGCCCAGGGTTGTGTGTAAAGGGAGGATGGTGCTCCTGGGCCCTGCTGGATGCAATCTTATCACTACCTCATATGCATGCACCTGCCTGCCGCCCCGTTGCCCGCCGCTTGGTTTTCAGGAATTCCTCGGTCTCGCCTTCTAACAAGCCTGTGCCCGACTCCCCTCCCCCTGCCTGCCTGCCTCACCAGCTGGGCATCGTGGGCGAGATGCGAGAGACGGGCAGCAAGCTGGCCGGCGGGCTGCAGGCGGCTGGCGAGGCGTTGGGGGTGACGGGCGGCGGCAAGAAGGGAGATTGATGAGGCCAGGAGGCATGGGGAGGCCGGGGCACAGGTACAAGATGTGTGTCTCCGTTCCGCTGCTGTAAGCAATGATTGAATGAGATAAATGGCAGGTTCACGTACAGGAAGGGATGCTGCCAGTTCACAGCCGTAGGGACGGGTAGCCAAAACTGGGTCGAAGTGCGGCAAGGGATTGCAGGGAGAGGAAAGTCACAGGCACAGCCGCTGCGGCCCTGCGGCGCTATGAATCGGTGGCGGCGGGCTCGGCCAGCACCAGCATCAGCCGCGCCTTCTCCACCAGCACCTCCAGCCCTGCAATATCCTCTGGGTCGAATGTGGGCACCGCTGGCCGCGCCGCCGCCTCGCTCTTGGCCGCCTGCAGCACGCAGCCCAGCTCCTGCCACGCATCCTCGTACTGCTTGTCGAAGAACAGCAGCAGGCCAAACTCCAGCTGCGCGGTCCTGCAGTTGCAAGGGGACGTGGGGGAGGACAGTCAACCCCACTCTACCGATGGTGGAGGATGCGCATGAGGTGGGCATGCATGCTAGCCGGATGGCAGTGTAGCGGGAAGGAGGCCCGACGGCATCCCCGATCTCCCATGCAGCAGCCGCCGGGCGGCAGCAGACTCACAGGTCATCTGGCAGCAGCCAGGCGCGCTTCTGTGCCGCGGCCAGCGCCCGCTGCAGGTGGTGGCCTCGCGCCGGCCACCACTGCTGGCTGCCGCTGCGCTGCAGCAGGCCGGCAGGGAAGCAGCGCAGCCGTCAGCACCCTGCACCCGCACACCGTGATGCCCAGCGGGCTGCCGCAGGCCCCTGCATGGCCCCGCACCACACACACACACCACCACCACCTGCCCTCACACCGCCACACCACCACCACCACCACCACCAGACTCGCCTGCCCCGCTGCCTCTGGCTCCGTGAAGATGACCTTAAAGTACTCGCCGCCCTCGTCCTCCCCGCTGCTCGTCTCCACCTCCACATCCCGGTACTCGCCCAGCGCCACCTGCCCGGTAGGCGAACGGCGGGCAGCAGCAGCAGGTTGGGGCAGCAGCAGGCAAGGGCACGCCGGCCAGCCTCTGTGTGCGTGCAAGGAGCCAGCGCTCTATGCCGGGGCATCCATACCCCCCTGGCCAGCTCCTTTGGTCCGACAGCACTGCTCACGCTCACCTCTATAGCAATGGGAACCGCCCAGATGGGCTCCGGCGGGCAGCCCACTGCGATGCACCAGTAGCTGTCGCACAGCACCTTGAGCATGCCGGCCAGCATGGCGGCGTTGTAGCAGGGCCGCAGCTCGCCCTGCACCTCAAACAGCTCCTTCACCTGCGGGGCAGCAGGCACAGCAGGCACAGCAGGCACAGCACGTGCAGCATGGGAACACCAGGCAAGAGGATGGGGTGCCAAGCTGCATGGGACTGCGCGCTTGCTTCGTTAACCGCTTGCCCGACCGCAAGCTTGCCTCACTGATGCAGGCCGCTCACCTCGCTGACGCTCAGCAGCATGCCCTCAGAGTAGGGATCAATCACGATGCTCTCCCCCGCCACCTTGAGGCTGATGCTGTCGTCGGCGGGCATGAGCACAAAGTACCTGCAGGGCGGGGCAGGGGCAGGGGCAAGGTGAGGAGGCGAAGGAGTAGAGAGTTGGGGAGGCATGGGGAACAGGTAGCGGAGGCATAGAGCAGCGCTAGCCAGTTGTCGAATGCCAGGGGCAGATGCTGAGTTGCACAGGGGTTGGGCTGCTGGCTGTCGCGCCACGCGTGGCCATGCCGCAGCCGCCCACCTGCCGCCCTCCAGCGCCACCGGCTGCAGCGGCAGGCTGAGACGCGAGCACAGCTCCAGATACAGCACCGCCAGCGAGCCGGGGCTGCCATTGCCGTTTTCCAGCACGTTGCTCAAGCGGGAGCTGCAGCGGTCAGGCAGGCAGGTGGCGAGCGGCGAGCAGAGAGGAGTCGCCGCAAGGCAGCCTAGCAGGGATGGCTGGCTGCCCTTGAGCATGGCTGGAAGGCAGCAGCCTGGCAGGGTTGCGGATGCTGCACATCTGCCAAGGGCCTGGCTAGGCTGCCGCCGCTGCTCGTAACTTACTCCAGCGGGTCGCCGTGCTGCCTTCGCCGGCGGTAGCCGTGCCTGGTGTAGAGAACATGGTTCACGGCCTGCGCGGCCAGCCAGGCACGGCCCCGGCAGCACGCTTGAATTGAATGGCCCAACGACATGCCGCTGCTGCTGAGGGCAGGGCGCAAGCCAGCCGCCAGCCCCGCCTCCCGACCACAGCGTTCAAGGCGTTTCAGCCTGCAGAGTGGCATCCCGACCCTTCCACAACTCGCCACCCCCGGGCGCCGCTCACCAGGATGAGCTGTGTGGGATAGCTGCGGACCATGTCAATGTGCAGCGTGAGCAGAGCAGAGTCGGTCGCATCCTGCTGTGCGGCCAGCAGCACTGCGTCGGCCACCCCCAGCTCTTGCAGGTTGGCGTAAAAGGCGCGGGTGGCCTCCTCGGCCAGGCTCTGCATGCGGTCCAGGCTCCAGGTGGAGGCGGCGCCCACGCTCCTGCCGGACGCGAAGAAAAGTGTTGGTGGAAGGCAGGCGTGGGCGGCGGCGGGAAAGCGAGCAGAAAGCAGGTTTGGGGTGGGAGGGACAGGAGGCAGGGTGGCAGGGAGGGGTGAGCAGACACATGCACCGGATGGGCAGGCACGCTGGGCAACATGGCACGCACCCTAGCAGCGCGCCGCCGTCGGCGCTCAGGCCCTCGGCTTCGGCGCAGGCCGCCTGCGCCGCCGCCTCCTCCTCCAGAGCTATCAGCAGGCAGGCCTTGGTGAGGTTGGTGTGTGCCACCTCCTTGAAGCTGAGCGCCGCCCAGTCCGCAACGGCTGCATTGCTGGCGGGCAGGTCATCAGGAGCAGAGCGGCAGACGCAGCGCCGCAGCCGTCTGGGCGCCTCATCGGCCGAGCTGCAGGTGGAGCGACAGGCCGTCCCTCGCTGCCTAGGCCTCCCAGTGGCCGAGCTGGGGTCGCAGATGTGTCTGCAAGCGGCGCTAGGGGTCCTCAGGGGAGGGGCCGGTGGAGATATCTGCAGCGAGGAGAGCGCAGAGGCCATAGCTGATCGGGGAACTCTCGCAGGTGTGGTCTGAGCACGCCCTGGCCTTTAAAGGCGGGCACCAGTCGGCAGTGCTGATGTGGCTTTCAAGAAACGCAAAGTCGAGTTGCAACGCCTGTTTCACACAATCGACAGGGGTTACATTGTCTAAGAAGTGATCCCATCGATTGCCGCACTCAGGAGGCTGCAGTGGAACTGCAATGGCGGCCTCCTTTGCCAGGCCTTCACAGCTCTTGTACAATCTCGGTGTAGGTAGCAGTCAGGCAGTGTCGTCACGGCCGCCACAAGTCGCCAGGCCATGCCGGGCTCACCGGGCCGCCAGGCTGGTCTCACACAGCGGCAGGCAGGGCAGCGGCAGCGGCAGCGATGAGGATGACGGCTGGATGAGCTGGGCAGACTTGCCAGACAGCCCGCCGGCGGCGAACGGCACTGCTGCCGCCGCCGCCGCCGCCGCGGACCTCGACTGGCGCAGCGAAGTGCAGGGCCTGGCGCAGAGCCTGCGCAGCGGGCAGGTGGCCAGCTGCACCGTCCTTGCTGCTCCGCAGTGCACCGCCTGCTTCCCCGCTGCCGCTGCACTCTCTCCCCTGCTTCCTTTGCCGCCGCCAGGCCACATGAACAGTCCGCTGCCCTCTGCCGCACCACGCCACGCTCAGCCCCTCCCCTGCCCCTCCCTGCAGTCTTCCGACGGCGACAGCGCGGCCTCCGACCGGGAGCCGCAGTGGGAGGAGGAGGAGCGGGAGCGGTGCTTCCTGGTGGGCGTGCAGCTCAAGCAGCAGCGCAGCCGCCACGGCTACAGCGTGCGCGCGTCGCTCGAGGAGCTGGGGCGGCTGGCAGACACGGCGGGGCTGGAGGTCATGGGATCCACCTACCAGCTGCTGGACGAGGTGGGGAGGGTGGCGGTGTGACGGTGGCAGTGCTGGAGGGGGTGGGCACTGCTCTTGTGTGTGTATTTTTTGGTGCGGAGGTGGTGGTGGGGCGGTCGCCTAACCTGCCAACCCAGGCTCCTGCCTGCCTACCTGCCTGCCTGCCGGTGCCTCCCCACCCTGCCCTGCACTGCCCTGCCCGCCCCCTCCTCTGTCCCACCTCCTTCCCCTCCCGCAGATCAACCCGCGCACCTACATCGGCAGCGGCAAGGTGCAGGAAATCATGGCGGCGGTGGCGAACACGGGCGCCACCACCGTCGTGTTTGACGATGAGCTCAGCCCGGGTGCGGCAGATGCGGGGGCCGCCTGCCGCCGCTGGCTCCCCTGGCTGCGTTTGCTGCTTGCCTGCTGCTGCTGCTGCCTGCACCAGGCATATGCCACTTTGCCGCCGGCGCTCTGCGAGTGGCTGCTGCCCCAGATGTCGGCCGCCGCCGACCCGTCGCCAGCCCGGCCCGCCGCCTGCCGCTCCAGGCCAGCTGCGCAACCTGGAGCGGGCGCTGGGGGATGCGGTACGCCTGTGCGACCGTACCGCCCTCATTCTGGACATCTTCAGCCAGCGGGCGGCGACGCGGGAGGGCAAGCTGCAGGTGGCGCCAGGCGGCCGTGTGGCTAGCTGCCCCGCGCGGGGCGTGGGCGCTGCTGCCGGCAGGAGCGGGTGGTTGGGTGCAGGCGGCGCCTTGCGTGTGCTGCCCGGGCCGCCGCCGGCCTCCCGGCCGCTGCGACACCCCACATGCCACACCCCGGGCCCCTCATCACGCCCCCACAGGTGGAGCTGGCTCAGAGCGAGTACCAGCTGCCGCGCCTCACTCGCATGTGGTCCCACCTGGAGCGCCAGAGCGGTTCGGGCCAGGTGCGCCGCCCTTTGGTGCTTCGTTTGGCTGGCTGGCAGGCGCTGCGCGCGAGCCTTGCCCTCACTCTGGGGGTGCTGTGTCGGCCTGACCCCTTGAGGCCCAGGCCTGGGGCAGCAGGGCGGCGCGGCGGGGGAGCTGCTGGTGGTCTGCAGCTGTCAGCCGGCAGCCGGCCCCAGTCCCCAGCTTCACGCTCCCTCGCTCTGCGTGCTGCGCACCGGGCGGCGCGTCTGTTGCTGGCTGCAGGTGAAGGGCATGGGCGAGAAGCAGATTGAGGTGGACCGGCGGCTGCTCAAGGGGCGCATGGCGCGGCTGCGCAGGGACATCGAGGAGGTGAGCGGGCACCCCCATGATATCACCTGGCAGTGGGAATGCCAGCTCACAGGTTCCTCACTCTATCCTTGTGTATGCCTGTGGTGATCCCCTCACGCACGCCCCCACCCATGCACCCGTCCACACCACGCCGCCGTCGCCGCCCGCGCCACCCGCCCGCGGCGCCGCCCGCAGGTGCGCACCCACCGGCGCGCGTACCGCGAGCGGCGCGCCGCCGCGCCCATCCCCGTGGTGGCGCTGGTGGGGTACACCAATGCGGGCAAGTCCACCTTGCTCAACACCCTGACCCAGGCGGGGGTGCTGGCAGAGGACAAGCTGTTTGCCACGCTGGACCCCACCACGCGCCGCGTGGAGCTGCCCGGCGGCAAGGCCCTGCTCTTCACCGACACCGTCGGCTTCATCCAGAAGCTGCCCACGCAGGTGGGCGCGCGCACGGGAAGCGGGGAGGCGCCTGCAGCTGGCTTGTACGCACGAGCGCGCACGCGCGTGTGTGTGGGCCGAGTGGGAGGCAGCGCCCGAGGGCGCCCGACGGCTCGCCCCAGCCGCCCGCCAGCCCACCCCTTCCTGCCCTGCCCCCGCCCCGCCCCGCCCCTCCTTCCGCCGCCCGCAGCTGGTGGCGGCCTTCCGCGCCACGCTGGAGGAGATCAAGGACGCTTCGCTGCTGCTGCACGTGGTGGATGTGAGCCACCCCAACGCCGCCGCCCAGATCGACGCCGTCAACGGGGTGCTGGCGGAGCTGGGGGTGGAGAACATGCCCACCCTCAACGTGTGGAACAAGGTGCGTACATGCGTGTGTGCGTTTGTGTGTGTGCGTGTGGGTGGGTGGGTGGGTGGGCCGGGCCCCTGCCGGGGCTCGTAAGCGAAGCAGGGGAGGCCTGGCCTGGTGTGGGGGAGGCTGGCACACGGCGAGCGGTGCGCCGCAGCCGGCGGCGGCAGCAGGAGGGAGGGCGAGGCAGCTGCGCGGCGGGTGGGTGGAGGTTGGAGGGGTGGCCCACCCGAGCCGCCTGCGCGCCACCGGCCCGCCCGCTGCGCACAGGTGGATGCGTGCGCGGACCCCGAGGTGGTGCGCGCGGTGGCGGCGCGCCGCGAGCAGACGGTGTGCGTCAGCGGGCTGACGGGGGAGGGGCTGGGGGAGATGCTGGAGCGGGTGTCGGCCAAGCTGCAGGACTCGATGGTGGCGGTGCACGTGCTCATCCCGTACGCGCAGGTGGGGACAGGGGCCAGGGGGTGGGGCAGCTGCTGGCTGGCTGCCGGCGGTACAGTGGTCCCACTGTACGCTGGTGTCTTTGTGCGGGCTGGAGCAGGGGCTGCTCTGTTCTGACTGCTGTGCTGGCCCCTCGGTGCATCGGCAACTCTGTCATTCCTGTCTGTGTCCCAGGGCGAGCTGGTGGATGAGATCCACCGCACAGGGGTGGTGGAGGCGGCGGAGTTTGGTGCGGCGGGGACCGAGGTGCGCGCCTACGTGCCGCTGTCGGTGGCGCAGCGCCTGCAGCCCCTGCGCCTGCAGACGGCGGCGGCGGTCGAGGAGCAGCAGCGCATAGAGGCGGCGGCGGCGGTGGCGGCGGGGGCGGCACGAGCAGCAGACGCGGCCGGGGCGGCGGCGGAGGCGCCGACGTGAGCGCTGTGCGTGCCAGCCTGGTGCGGACGCTGCGTTTTAGCTCTCAGTGCACTGCCTGTACTTTGGTTGCTTTGTGATGGGCCCCTTGGCTTTGTATCATACGAGACTTGGTGGTGGACCAACCTTGTGGACCTGCAGCAGCTCTCCAAGGAGAGAGGAGGCTCATAGCATGGCTGCCTCAGGTCTCTATCCCTCGGGCTTTGCCTCGGCGCTCCAGGCCTTTGCGCCGCTGTGCCGGCACGCCAACAGAGGCCAGCACGGCGACCACAAAGCCATTGCCGACCTCAAGCGAGAGTGCTACGACCTGCTGGCGCCAGCAGTGGGCAAGCTGGGGCCCACGGAAGGCAGCGCTGGCGACGGAACCATCAGCTTCCCAGAGTTTTCGGCGGCGGCGGAGCGCCTGCTGCTGCCCATGCTGCAGCGCACCAACCCCGGCCTCCAATCGCAGGCCTTCCGCGCTCTCTGGTGAGAGACACATGGCTTGATCCTATCACTCACAAGTCATGCAGGTCAGCAACGTTGCAGCATGCTGACATGGGTTCCCAGCAGGGCGGGGCAGGGAGCAGCCGCAAGGCGGGGAAGAAGGAGTTGAAGCGGGTGCCGCAGAACAGAACTAGATGCATGCCTGGCGGCCCTGGTGCAGGGGCCAGATCAACCCATTCGCCATCCCCACACTGGCAAAGATGCGCGGCATTCAGGGTTGGGTCTGCGACAAGGCCAACAAGCGCACCAACATCTGTCCGGGCCCGCCGCCGGAGCCCAGCCTCGCTGCCGGCGCAGGCACCGGGCCAGCCGGTATCAGTGCCAACAGCACTGCAGCAGGGGCAGCACCTCCTGGCCCCGGCCAGTGGTGCGTCTACTGCGGCGCCAGAAACCATCTCATGATGGGCTGCCCAGCATTCCAGCGGATGCTGCAGGCGGTGTTTGCAGCAGGGGCTGCCTCTGCCGCTCCTCAGCAGCGCACCGCGCCGCCGCCAGCCTCCACCGCTGCACGAGCGCTGCCAGCCAATGACTGGAGCAGCCTCGCTCAGCGAGCCATAGCCAGCGTGCAACAGGCCGGTAGCGGCTACGAGGCCGCTGCGCCAGCCACCTCAGCCTCCCCGCCAGCGCAGCGCAGCACTGCCACAGCGGCAGCGACAGTGCAGCAGGGGATATCTTCTGCGGACAGTGCTGCCCTGTGCCTGCTGTGCCACACACGCCCGAGCAGCGGGATCCTGATACCCTGCGGCCACCATGCCGTCTGCGCCAGCTGCGGTGCACAGATGATGGAAGGGGGCGAGGCTGCACCCGCAGCCGCCTGCCCAGTCTGCCAGGCGGAGGTGGGCTGCCTGGCGCGCTTGCCACCGTTGTGGCTTGGGCCCTGCAAGGGTGGAGCCACCCAGCACTGCCGTGCCTCATGCAGGTGGAGCTCATTCTATGAGGAGGTCGCTCAGTGGCCAATCAGCCTGCGGCCTGTGGCGCACACCACCTTCAGGTGCTCCTCCAGGGAGCAGAATGCAACCGCCAAGCGTGCAGCCCGGAGGGCGCCTGCTGCTCTGAGCGCAGCTGAGATTGGAAGACTCTCGCTTGCAGGGTGCCCGCTTTGCTATATGCAGCATGTGTTCAACCCTCACTCGGTGTCAGTACATCTTCAGTCATCGCCACTGCTTGCTCACTCTGCTACCAGCTCCAGGTGCTGCTGCTGCTGCTGCATCCCAGAGCTGCAACGCTGCACCGTTTCTCTAGGCCTGGGCATCTGCCGCTTCTACTCTGCGGTGGTGGGCAGGCCGCGCGCCTCCCTGCAGCAAGTGGCAAGAGGCAGGTGAAGGAGAAACATGGAAACAGGTAATATGGCAGGTCGGATACCAGCAGCACTGCGCTTGGTGCTGCAAGCCGTGAAGGCAGAGGCCGTGCATGGGCGCACCAGGCCTTCATGCCGCCAGGCATGCACAGCACGCTGCTGTACCCCGCCTCTGCAATGGTGGTGGCTGCTGACGTGCCGCGGGTGCCGCCGCCGCATGTCACTACCATGTGCGAGCCGGACGCGTCTGGGAAGCTTTGCCGCACCTGCAGGCAGGCAGGCAGCCAGGCAGGCAGGCAAGGGCCAAGATGTGGAGGGTCCGCAATACTGCGCACCTACAGCGCCTGCCTGCCGCCGCTGCCTTGCCTGCTCCAGGAATGCTGGGTTGTGCTTGCGTCCCTCCTCCGTTTGCACCATGAAGGGAATGTTGACAGCGCCAGGCGCGTGTCCGCTGCTGAATTCCTCGGGTGTTCTGCACCGAGGCGGCGGCAGGAGGCGGCAGCGCAGATGGCCAAACTCGTCTGTCGTCCCCGCCGCGCGGAAGACAGCCCTCCGCCATGCTATCAGCCAATTGTACACGCTGGGCGGTCTCAGGAGGCCAGGCTTCCTTCAGAGTCAACAAGCGATCGCGGCGCCCATCCGCCTCACCTCACGTCCAGCAGCACATAGCCGGACTTGGAGACCAGGGATCCTGCAGACTCGGCATCCACCGACTCGTAACGTTGCGCCTGCTCCGCCATGCTGGCCAAACAACGGGGCTCTGTGTCGTTGACGGTGCCCAAGAATAAAGAGACGCACCATGGACCATTTGAGGGTGCGGCGGTTGTGTCCCGGCAAGGCCGCTGAGAGCCTCACTGTCGCCACCTCACCGCACCGCCTGGCGCCCATTTGCCTTCTGCTAGTGAATGTTGTTTATACAGGTGCCTATGCAGGCATGCGTCATGCATCGTGAGATTGGCGACAGGCATCAAGAAACAGTAAAAAAAGAGCGGCAGAGAAGGGCAACCAAACGTCGGAGCAACGGGGAAGGAGGAAGAGGGCCAATTTGGGGGAGGGAGGGGGCATGTGTTGGCGGCAACGTTGAGTTTTGCAGGGTGGCGGGGCAGGCTCGCTCACGCCTTGGCGGCCTCCCCCACCTCGGGGTCCACAAAGCGCTTGGTGCCAAAGTCGCCCAGGCTGACCTTGTTGACGGGCTTGAGCGGGAAGACGGGCAGGATCTGCTTGCCGTACACATCCTTCATCAGCGCCGCGGTGCCGTCGTAGAATGCCACGGCGGCCACCATGAAGCCCCAGCCGCCCGCAAACTTGGTCAGGGTGGTGCGCTCGTCGCCGGAGCCCACGCCGCCGGCCAGAAACCAGAAGAGCAGGGCCAGGGAGAGGAAGAGCCAGCTGGTGACCAGGTTGGTGTGGAAGGTGCACAGCCAGAGCAGGAAGGTCTGCAGGGATTGGGGGGGTGGTTTGGGGGGCAGGCAAGTCAGCTCAAGCGTGATGCATGCTTGCGGGCGGCCTGGGAAGCCGTGACAGCCAGGGAGCGGCGGATGGGCAGGCGCCTCACCAGGATGCCCCACAGCGTCAGCATCAGGCGGTCGCCCTCCACGGGGACGGGGGCAAACACTTGGGCGGCAACCAGGGTCTGGTAGATGGCCAGCGACATCCAAAAGGCGCCGTAGCTGCAAGGCAGGAGGGAAGGGGGTTGAGGGAGGAGCGGGCAGGTGGCAGGGCAGGCGCTGGAGCAGGGCAGGCAGTGCTGGTTTGATGGATGCACGCTTGCCGCACACAGGCTCACCAGCAGAAGGCCACTGTGCCAAAGGTGTTGCGGCGCTGGTACTCGAGCAGGCCGGCGCAGAACTGGGCCAGGCCGCCGAAGAAGAAGCCAAAGCCCATGGCCAGCTGGCCGGTGTTGGGCTCGGTCAGGCCCGACTTCTGGCCCTGGAGCAGGGCGGTGGTGAGGGCGAAGCCGTACAGGCCCAGCGGGGCTGCAGCAGGGGGCGGGGGGCGACAAAGCTTGACGGTTGGCGGCAGCTTGGCGGCGGCCAGGGGGAGGAGTGGCGGCGGGCACCGCAGGCAGCAGCCCAAAGACCCGGCCACAGTGCGGCGGCGCAGCAGGTCTCTTCGTGGTCAGATAGGCGCGGAATGAGCGCCGTGCGGAAGGGGTGGCTCATGGCTGAGTCACGCAAGGCCGGTGGATGCAAGGCCGGAAGTCGTATCGGGGCACCAATGCAGCCCGCCAATGCTATACCACAAATGTCTCAACCACGTTGAAATTGGGGTTGGGCTCCAGCGAACAGACCCGCCCGCCCATGGCGACCCCCCTGCACCCTGTCAACTTTGTGCAGCCGTGTTCGTGTTCTCACCCGGGTTGGCTGTGGCGGGATTGACCTTGATGCCATCCTCCGACAGTGCCTGCAGGCGCTGAGCCAGCAGCGCGATGCTGTCGGCCTGAGACATGGTTGCTGTGCGGGGATTGGACTGGGACCGCAGACACGCCCTGAAATGCTCGGCAGTGCAAGCAGGAATATGTGGGGATTGGGGGAGCCACGGACCTTTAAGGATATGAACGTGAGCGTCATCTGTTGCCCGCTGATGTGGCACCTCCCCCGATTCGTCTGGCTCATCAGGCACGCTCTCTCCCGCGATCCCTCCCTTTCCTTCGCCTTTCAGAGTCTCTAAGGCTTCTATTTCTCCCCTCCCGCACCCCGCAGCTGCCGCAAATTTAAAATTATGAACCAACCTGTCATCCTTTATGCCTTAGAACGGCGCCAAAACGGCGCCAAGAATGTGTTTCTCACTAAGTCAGATGTAGAGGGCATCATCCGGATCAAGCAGGGCGACCAGCAGGCGCCCTCAGGCCGGCGGCGGCGGGGTGCGGGAGGGGGGGCGGCAGTGCAGGGCGGCGCCAAGAACTACAGCAAGAAGGTGCTGCAGTTCTTCCAGGTGCTGAAGGGCGCTGGCGGTCAGGACATCCTGTGCCGCTGCGTCAAGCGCAGCGGAGAGTGGCGGTGGTGCCCCGTGGTGCCGCTCGAGGAGCTGCCCCGAGTGATCAAGGAGCACCACGAGCGGGCGACTGGCTTCAGCGGTGTGGAGAAGCTGTACACACATGTGAGTGATACAAGGGGTGCAATGATGCCGCCAGACCAACTGGAGAGTGCTCTGCATCAGGCAGCAACCGGATGCATCGCAGCAAGCACGGGGGGTGCGGCACGGCCAAGGTGGCGCTGCCCTCCTCTCCATCTATCCCTCCTTCCCTCCCTCACGCCGCGCACTCCCCTGGTCCTCCTTTGCTGCTCTGCTGCCTTTC